ACTAAGATGGGTGGTTGCCCCACCGCTCCGTTGCTATGCTAGGTAGACGCGCCGCCGCACTAGTATTTAGCTGTTGTCACGGCGAGCGTACTGAGGAGCTGGGACCTAGCCGGCAGCAAGCAGCTATTACTCTATTGATGAGAATAACAAGACTAGAGAGGAAAGAAAGAGAGAGAAAGAGATAGGTACAGTGGGAGGTTGCCCCTTTAAGAGGATCCTCTAGTCAGATCCTTCTCTTATTGGGAAGTATCCGCTTGTCATGTAGGAAGGTCTGTGCAGGCCGTCACAACTGTAAACACGTCCGTACGAGGTAGACACGAAACAAGCAACCAAGCAAGCTACATACACCCGAAACCACTGCTCTCTGAGTTATCACATTAATATTGTTTTTATATTATTTAACGATCTTTATAAAAAGGTGCATATGTAGCTTTCAACTGTTTTTTATAGAAACCTTTTTTAATATAGTATCAACGCTAATCACTCATACTTGAGTATTATGATTAATCGGTCAACCCTGTTCCAACAATTACTATATCTTTAAAATGGCCGTACTGCGTAAAAAAAGCAATGTTTAATTCGTTTTTTTATCCGTATTTTATAATATACGTCTTTTGAATTAATTTTAAAAAATCCTGTTATGGTTCATAAGCGGTTTAGAATCTTTCAGATTAACGGTAACGAGTCGCAATCATTTTGTATAGTTTTATTTAGTTTTTTAGAATGGACTTATAACTGTAACGTAATAGAAAAACCGAATAAAATGATATTTTAGTAAAGCTTAAATTTCGATAAATCTAGCCTTTTTACTTAACGCTTTTTAAATATTCGTACAATATCTTGAGCGTTTTTTAAAAAGATATAATAGCTTATAAAAGGCTTTTTATTATTGCAAGATTCGATAGCGTAATTATATGTTAAATTTTCTAATAACTCGTTTGCTTTTTTTATTAAAAGAATATCCGTATAAAAAGTTACATACCGCTTTACTTTTTTAAAGGTATTAAAATAAATAATAGTAAGATTTTACTCGGTTACAAATTTAATAAATATAATATTTCGCTATAATTATAGTTATATAATAATCGCGTACTTTTTTATGAAGCGAGTAAACCCTATATATTTTATAAATATTTGAATTCTTTACTACTTTATAACTTAAGTAATAGCTAGGTTAACCTTTTTAAGCCAGTTAATCTTTAATACTACTGTTAATTGAAATGCGTTTATAATAACCAATTATTATAATCACCTTTTTATATTAAAAGATGTTGGGTTCAGTCTTATTTTAAATTTTAGTTATAAGCGGCGCGGGTTTAATAGTAAATAGAACTTAAATATATAATTTTATATATTAATTACAGGAAGTGGTAACGGTTTTATTTAAATTTTATACCGTATTGTTTATGAAGCTATTTACTGGTTTAGATACTTATTTTTAATATTTTAATAAAGTATGAAGCGCTTTTTAAAACTTATTTTTTTAAAAGTATTTTAATTATAAGTCAGATTCCAAATTTGTTGAACGGCTTTTTATAAGAAATATTTCTTTATACCTCATTTTTAAAAGTTAAAATAAAATAACGTATATAAAACGCGTTAAGTTAGGCGTGGGTTTTTTTACGTATTAAATACGGCTTTAATTTAAGTAATAAAATTAATAAAGTTATAAAAGTTCACTTTTTATACCGTATATTAAGTAAAGTATAAAGTAAATAATAATAATAATAATAATAATAACTTTACAATAAATACTAATAAATGTTATAATAATTTTGCTATTGATATTAAGCTGGTAGATAGTAGCCGGGTAGATTTTAATTAAATGAAAACAAGATTTCAATTTATTAATGTTAGATTTAATATTATAATTAAAGTTAGATTAATACTAATAATAAGTCGTATTATATTATAACTTATAGATTTTAATTTTAAGTTGTTTAACGTTAGCTTTAAATATAATAAATCGTTATTATTTATTAAAGATATTATCGTATCGAACTTATATAGCTTTAAGTTTAATAATACGAGCCTCAATTAAGGTTTTAAGTATATATTAAGTATTAGTTAAAGTTATATTAGGCTTTAAGTTATTACTACTAAGTAAAAGAAGCGCAAACGAGCCGATAAGTAAGCTAATAACAAATTAAAAAGTAGTAACCATTTTAACTGTTTTAAACGGTTTGATTTGAAGTGGAAAAGATTTAAATGATTAAAAGCGTAGTATTAAAGAGTAAGAAAAGCAGTTGATTAAACATCATATAATAAGAAGTAAAGTAAAATATAGTTAAAACCTGGCTTTTTTTTAAATGTAGGTATTTCGTAGACTTTATATGTGCTTTCGTAGATACCGTATACCTCTTTTTCCGAACGAATATTGCCGATTAGCTTAAGTATCCTTGACAGCTTGTCGTTATAAGTTATAACCTGTAGACGGTTCGGAAGATGTTGCATCTGCTAGACGATCTAAGTCATATTAATCATGGAGTGCTAGAACCCGAGACGTAAGAAGGACTTAATAGTACGCCCCTTTTTTAGGTCTCTGCTAGGTTAAGCATATTGTGATGGATCTGACATCCATCCATCCATTCACGGTGGTACGTGCGCTCATCAGGTGATCTGGTGGGGTGGACGCGTTGCCCCGCTGCACTCACTATAGATAATTGTGGAGCGGGATTGAAGATCTAATCCCCCACCAGAATTGGCTGGTGGTTCTGATCCTTCTTCCCTCCTCACCAGTAGATTCTTATTCATCTGGAGTAATAGATGGGCATCTTCGTCCTGAGCTGCCAGCTGTTCCGTGACACATATCAGAAGAAGCGGGACTGCCAGAAAGCTGGATTTCTCGGCGTGGTATAGAAGGTAGACTCTCACGGTCCGACGCAAAGTCCCAGTACTGAAAAAGACCAGTATCATCAATAACGAAGCACTGGACAAACCCAGTGGGCTAACACTTCCTGGCTATGTAGGGTTATGCCTACACTCGTTGCGAAAAGCCTACTCGCATACTCAAGTGGAATATATATGCCAAAGGAAGAAAATATCCTGCATTATTCGCAGATCCTTTGTTCATGCCGAACAAGTCTTAAGCTTTAATTTTAGGTAAAGAATCGTGCCATGTAAGGTCATTTTCCGGTTAACATGAACGGCTTCAGGTCGTCGTACCGTGTCTTCGCGCCGGATTGCTAGTCTATGCTAGCTTCGAACGGCTTATATTCGCGTCGCTCGAGGTACGGTTCATACATTATATATTCAATATCACGAGTGGCATTGCTTAGAAGGCATTCCGGCGTATTTGGCTAATACCCATTTAGGCAGGGGAAAACTGGTAAGTCTATAATATGTTGACCCTCGGGGTTTTAGGGTTTAGGGACGGACACTCGGGTCTTGAATCTACTTATTCTTGTTCTCCTTTTACAACACGGCCTGTCGTTAACTTCGTAGATGGAGCCAATAAGTAACAGGTTCATCTCTTCGTACGAATCAAGCGAAATGTCGACCGTCGTTGTTACGACGTGTAGTTCCCGCTCTTTCAGCTAACTACCTATGAGTATATGAAGTCCACCACAGGTAGTCATGAGCCCATGGTTTAACATCGTGTATAAAAGGCCGCGCAGACCCTCTATTGAATGACAGTGTCTTCTTTATCCGACGTTGATTCAATATAACACATTATGAGGTGTCCATTCATAGATACTTGATGGCAGATACAGCCATACGATACTGTTGATGGAATGCTCCAACGTGATCCGGTTTGGTTCAGTAGCAACTCTAGTCACCCTGGTGTTCGTTCGATAGCCGCTAGATGTCTCAATGCCTATCCTGATGCCGCAGAGGAGCGAGACACAAAGAAAAGGACCCTCTTAGCTTGCGATCCGACAGTTCGCTCTCTTGAATACCTGTCAGGGTCTAAGAGTGAAAGGCCATGCATCTCGCAAGCCAGCCTGTGTGTCTTCATTCCTTGGCTCCTGTAGATTTCACTCGTATGGTTGCGATTGCCACCTGCATCTATGTGACCTATAGACGTATTGCAGACTCAAGGTTCGCGTCGACGCAGACCCTTACTAAATATATGGCTAGGTATACGTGGGTCACTGATCTGCTCAGGTCGTCAGACGGGGCCACCGAGATGCCCGGAAAGGTCTTTCTGTTGGTAAAGGATCATTCAAACACTATATACGGCACACAATGTTGGGCCTGGAAATATTGCAATGCCACATTTCAATCCCGGTGTCCCTATTGACACTCCCCTGTCTAACGTTATCGACTAGCCACGGGCTTCTGGACTGGCCACAGGTGTGAGATTAAGCCGTTCGGCTCCCTTAGGATTCAGACCACTAGTTAGCCCCATGGTACTATGGTCAAAGTTTGAAGTTCTTCGGTGTGAGTTGCACCATTTTTGGGGCGCCACAATGGGGCCGGTCACTCTCGGCAATGGGGTCTGGAGACGGCCTATACCGGAGTCCCACACTACGCAAACTCCGGCTGCGGCGAGTCCCGAAAAAGATGATTCCGAGTCACAGTAATAGGAGCACAAACCAGTCTCTAGAAAGTCGGTCGGAAGGTGAAACGCAAGCATCGCCAGCTTCTGTATATATGGTAGGGCCTGCCAGCTGGGGCCGTGGGGGTGATATACATATTGGTATAGTCGACGGCACATGTCGACCAGCTATAGCCCCATACCCCTCCCGACATGCAAGCTAAGCCCTAGATAATGACTAGACTATATCTTAGGGTATTGCGTAATAATAAGAAATAAGAGTGAAGAGTGGGGGTTATCGAAGCTCTCCTCGAGAGGGGCATGTCGAGCACCAGCGAGCTCGATGAGGGGTGAAGCCGGGCGCAGAGACTGCTCACATCTGACCTGTTTGTTGCAGGACTTGTTCGGCTTCCGTCCGTTCATCTTTCATCAGGCTGCACCAACTGCCGTCAATGGGAGAGGAGGACCTCAGCTTGGGAGTCTGCCTCTAGAGCCCACAATCTCGGACCGCACCGTCAAGATGCCCCGACTGCGCGCTTGCACGATCCCGCTGCCGGGCCGCTTCAAGGCCCTCCCGCAGCCCGTGCTCCAGATCATTCTGCTGCTAGTATCAGCGAACGCGGTCGCCTGGGTCGCCGTGGGCGTGGTGCTGCACTACCACCCCAAGATGGTCGGCCCGGCCGTGCTATCATACACGCTGGGGCTGCGGCACGCGCTGGACGCCGACCACATCAGCGCCATCGACCTGATGACGCGGCGGCTGATCGCGGCCGGCCAGCGGCCCGTCACCGTCGGCACCTTCTTCAGTCTGGGCCACTCGACCATCGTGATCGTGACGTGCGTCGTCGTCGCCGCCACGTCGGGCGCCCTGCGCGACCGCTTCGACAACTTCAAGTACCTCGGCGGCATCGTCGGCACCAGCGTCAGCGCCGCCTTCCTGATCCTGCTGTGCCTCGGCAACGGCTGGGTCATGTGCCGCCTCGTGCAGCGCCTGCGCGAGGTCCTGCGCGGGCCCGACCCGCACCACCCCGTTGAGGCCGAGCCCGACGGCGCCGACGACGATGATGGTGGAGACCAGGCCGTGAGCAACCTGCAGCTCGAGGGCGCCGGGTTCCTCGCGACCGTGTTCAGGAGGCTCTTTCGCATCGTGGACCGGCCCTGGAAGATGTACCCCCTGGGGGTCCTCTTCGGGCTCGGCTTCGACACAAGCTCCGAGATAGCCATCCTGGGCATTGCGAGCATCCAGGGGGCGCAGGGGACGAGCCTCTGGGTGATTCTGATATTCCCCTTACTGTTCACAGGTAAGCGTTTTTGTTTCTGACCTCTCAACAGCTGCGCGGTGGCTAACGGGTGGAAAAAAGCGGGCATGTGTATGCTCGACACCACGGACGGCGCGCTCATGATGTCGCTGTACACCTCCAAGGCCTTCGCGCGCGACACCGTGGCCATCATCTACTACTCGATCGTGCTGACCGGCATCACCGTGGTCGTGTCGGCCTTCATAGGCATCATACAGATCCTGTCACTGGTCCAGAATGTCGCTGAGCCTCAGGGCAAGTTCTGGGACGGGCTCAGCGCCGTTGGAGATCACTTCGACGTCATCGGCGGGAGCATTTGCGGCCTCTTCCTGGTGGTGGGCCTTGGGTCGGTGGTGGTCTACAAGCCGTGGAGGAGGAGGATGGAGAGGCGTAGGGTTGAGCGGCTACCCTCTCATGATGCCGAGGTTGCCTTCAATCATGCAGGGAACTCGACTTGCTCAACCCCAGATCACTCACACGCCGCCTAAGAAATTGTATACTGGCGATGCCTTTGCTTCATTTGTTTTTGCGGCACAATTAGCAGGCAGACACCAGACAGTCTACGGCCCTTTAACCAGTAACCAATACGTGGTGATCATAGGTAATATGTTAACTACCTGGGCTTATTGTTGGGCAATCTCACTCCCGAACCTGTCATACAATGGCACCACACTGGTACCAACTCTCATGCTGCCATCATCCGGCTTCGTTGCTCACTCGACCGACATTTCCCGGTCGAGTCATAGCGTCCCCTTCTCAATAACACCTATATCCTGCAAGCCGTATCCATGCTGTCGGCCCCGGTGACACCCTATGCTTCTCGTGCTTCATGCACTGAAAGGGTTCATTTGGGTCGCCTGGCTGAATCTGTTCTTCCAACGCGCTGTAACTTTGGGATCCCAAATCGCCTCTTCCTGTGATGCTAGTACTCTCACAATCCTTCCTCAGCTTGAAAGGGGCATTGCCTGACCTTATCACGCCGCACGCCACACAGTAGGCTTCTGGTGGTGACGACTACTTGATATATCCTTCTGTAGGAAAGGACGCCACTTCGAGGGGCTCTAACGCACTCGGGTGTAGTGTCCTTTCTTCTGCTCCATACGTAGACTCTCTTCTTGACTAGGAAGAGGAGCCCGACGACGTGCAGCAGCGCTGTCCTCTGCTGACATAGGCATGGGTGGCGGTGGGAAACCAGGTGGCATGGCGAAGTTCGGAGGCGGAATGAGACCGGGTGGCAGCATTCCCGGCGGAGGAGGAGGTGGTAGACCAGCTTTTTGCATCATCTCCGCAATCTTCGCAAAATCCGCTGGGTTGTTAGGATCCAAGCCAGGCAAAGGCGGGGGAGGACCACCATTGGTACCAGGCATGGGGAATGGTAGAGGTGGCGGAATCACACCCCCTGCACCAACACCAGAGAACTGGGGTGGAGGAGGGGGTATACCGTTGACTGGTAGCGTAAGACCAGGCAAGCTAGGGAGGCCAGGGAGGCCAGGGAGGCCAGGGAATATAGATGCAGGCTGCTTAGGCGGCATCTTCTGATCCACGAGACCTTCCATTTCATCCTCCATTTCCTGCTCTTCTTCCTCTTGCCGTTGCCGACGACCCCCACGTCGATCCCAAGTCCCCTGAGCCTCGGCAGCTGCCTCGCCAATATGGTACCTGTCTTGGAAGACTTCGGTCTCGCCTGGCCGTGCTCGAGTCCAGAATCTCGTGATGCGGTCGTTCGAGCCTGACGCCAGGATATGGCCCAGCGGGTGCCAATCCAACGACCAGATAGCAAAATCATGTGCGAATGGGATCTTGTGTGCGGGATATATGCTCTGCGCAGGCGCCGTCAACGGGTCCGCGCTCTCGTAAACAGCCGTGCTAATAGCCTGGCCTGCCGGAGTATTCGGTTCATCCAGAAGATAGTGGAACAGCGAGCCTTCGTTGCCTCCAGTACTGAGTAGATTGGCATGAATCGGGTGCCAGGTCAGAGTCGAGACCTCCTTCTCGTGGCCCTTGATCAAGCAGATATCTCGCATCATGCGTATATCGAACACTCGCGCGGTCTGGTCTCGCGCCGAGGTTGCTAAACACCATCCCATCACTCGTTCAAATACTGTCTTGGTGATAGTGTTCTTGTGGCCGTGGAGGGTCGTAAGACAACGCTGCGTCCTCGGGTCCCAGAGTTTTACTAGATGATCCTTGGATCCAGAGACGATCAAGCCTTTGGTTGGGTGCCAATCACAACTCTTCGCATCCCAGCCATGGCCTTGCAATGTTGACTCAGCGACACCACCAGCAAAATCGAAGATCTTGAGCGACGAGTCATCAGAAGCTGTCACGAACTTGGCATCGTTGGGGCTAAAGGCAAGGTCTCTGATGGGATCGTGATGGCCTTGTATCACCTGGACGTTGTTGAAGTTAGGCTGCCAATACTTGATGACTCCGTCGTGATCAGCTGATATGAGCCAGTCGTCACTGTGGGAGTAGGCTAGTGCACGAATTGCTACATCGTGAGCCTGCGAAATCGTCTCAAAGTTGAATCCAGTTCCATTCCACAGCGTGAACTCTCCACTACTTGACGCAGTCAGCAGCCTTCGACCCTCTGGTGTCCAGCGGACAACGTTAACCGGGTGTTTGATCTTGTTGAGTGACGAATGGAGGTGTTTGGTCGGGACGGTGTCGGCTGGATTTGTCACTCTTGCCAGGGGTGGAAGCATCTATCTCATATTTAGCATACTAGAGCATCACGCAAGTAGGCAGACCACTATGGACATACATCAACGATATAGCTCGCGCTCGGCCGCTCAACCTCGCCCTTGTAGGAGCCCCTGAAGCGTGGATGTCGGTCGCGCATCCAGCGCGTCATGGTTGAGCCATAGTCTGTTACAGGGCCTAAATGTGCAGCATGTCAGCCAGTGAACGAACAGCGGGTGGTATGGCATATGTGTTATGAGGCATTCAGGAGTGCCTGGCCGCGGAGAATCCTAAGATACCAACAAAACCATGCCGGGCTTGCTACACATATTACAGAGCTTGAGTGCATTGATGTGGCACACGTCGAATGCGCTGAAGGCTCATAAGAAGGACAAGGAAGCACGGGAGACCTACGTCGCCCGCGAGCTCTCACGTAGCCACCATCGTATCCTCCACCTGGTCCGCCGTGATCTCCACGTGGATCATAAGCCATGATGGCTAGAAGCGCATGGGTCTACCAAATCAGGCGATATGATTCCATGCACTGGTTGATGTGAAGTTCCTTCCGAGGCAGGTAGAGTCTGGTTAATTAGCAGTCGCCTATGGTGCGTGTGACTACCTAGGTTTGGCGGAGAGTTGTGCTGGAATGAAAGGATCATGAGCAGAGAGAACAAACAATCAAAGCTCGAAGCATGCAACTCATTCAATTGATCCAGATAATTAAGGTAGAGCTTTCAGCCACAATGCAGACTGTATTTTAGCGCTTTACCTAAGGTGCAGCTCAGGCATGCGATAGAGATCCACCTGCTGAGGCTGGACCAGGCTATCGGACCTATGATCTTCCGGACAATCTCCACACTGAGCAGCTGAGCTCCAGCCGCTGTGAGTGGGGCTCCAGTGCCCACCCCCCGGCGGCTTTTGAGTGGAGGGGCTCGGGGACAGCCGCGGCGGGCGCTCTTCCCCCTGGGAATGTGCTGGACATCGTCAAGGTCCAAGTTGTTTTCCAAGAAGTCATCATGAATCAATGTTCTGTCTGACCAGTTAAACATACGATGATCACTTAGGTACATGTAACTCGTAAGTGGAGGGCGGAGATCTCCAGGGGCTGAGGAATGTGATATAGTGACCCCTCAGTGGATGCAACGCCCCTTCCAAGCTGCCAAGTTCCAAGGTCCAACACAACACCACGGCTAGCGCCTCTATCTACCTAGGTCAACTCTGATGATGGTAACACATGCAAAGCACCGAAACAACCTTAACTTTCGGACGAGACAAGGCTCTTTCCAACTATGAGACCCAACCTCGGGCTTCTCCCACAGGCCGTCTCCCGAGACCTCAACACATTCAAATTATAATTCAACCCACTGGTGTGATTGAGTATTTACCTACTTGCAGTGCAGCCTGCACAGACATACATAACAGCTCAGCCACACCTCAGATAACCCCAGGGCCTTAACCCGACGTGTGAGCAGTGCAACATGGACGCCTCGGCCGTCACTACAAGTGTGGGATTGCCCACAGCCACCACACCACTGCGACGGAAAGATGGCACGGCCACTTCCAAGGAGTCAGGACCTGGTTCAACCCCGGGCGAAAAAGGAGAGAAGCAGCCGCTGGTCATAAGGAAATACCGTCATGTTGCGGCTGTCCATTCACAGGCGCGCCCCTCGACTCTAAGCCACGAGACGCAAGCTTCACCCAGCTTCGTCGGCTTCAGGAACCTGATGGTGATTGTATTATGTACGTCTGCGCAACGCCGTCGAGACGTTCATATACACTAACATGGGGGCAGTTGTGGGAAACTTACGACTGGTGATTGAGAACATGCAGAAGGTCAGTGGAATCACAACCCCGGGAGACCAATCACTGACACCGATGGCAGTACGGCAATCTGATATGCCTGACCTGTCATGACTTCCGGCAGAAGGATGTCCTACTCGGCCTGCTACTGTATATACTCGTCCCGTGCCATCTCTTCATCGCATTCTCGCTCGAGTTGTGTATGTACATTTTCGAGTCTGTTATTTCCCCATATGGTCATGTGCTGGGCGCGAATTTCCTCTTCTAGCCTGTGTCCAGAGCGGAGACACGCATTAGGACTCCTTGTTTCTTGGCAGAACATCTAAAAGGAGTATTGCTGACCCTAATTTGCTAACAGATGCCGCGAAGCAAGCGAGGATATCGCGGGCCCAGTCTGTCACTAGAGGTGGCACGGGCAGTCCGACCGAAGACCAGCTGGCCAAGTTCCACTTGACCTGGCTGAGCATCAGGAGAGCTCATCTGTTCAACGCGACCTTGGCTCTGGCTGTCAACAGCTGGGCTGTCTACTTCCACATTCACCACCCCTTAATCGGCACCATTACCGAATTGCATGTCCTCATTGTGTACATGAAGGTCATCTCCTATGCTCTTACAAATAGAGACCTGCGGCATGCCTACCTTCATCCCGTCAAAGGTGAACTTGCCGCCTTGCCCGAGCTGTATGCGAAATGCCCCTACCCGGAGAACATCACCATGGGGAACCTATCGTATTTTTGGTGGGCGCCGACTCTCGTCTACCAGCCGGTGTACCCTCGAACGGACAAGATCAGATGGGTATTTGTCTTCAAACGACTCGGCGAGGCAGCCTGCCTAAGCGCCTTCATCTGGTTTTGCAGTGCCCAGTATGCTGCCCCTGTCCTATGGAATTCCCTCGACAAGATGCACTCCCTGGACCTAGTGTCGATAATCGAAAGGCTCCTTAAGCTGTCCACCATTTCGCTCGTCATCTGGCTCGCCGGCTTCTTTGCTCTCTTCCAGTCTGCACTCAATGCCCTGGCCGAGGTCATGCGGTTTGGCGATCGTTCGTTCTACGATGACTGGTGGAACTCGGCGGGGTTGGGAGACTACTGGCGACTGTGGAACAAGCCCGTCTATCAGTTCATGAAGAGGCACATTTTCTCGCCACTGGTCGGTAGAGGATATTCGATGCCGACTGCCAGTATGATAGTCTTCTTGGTGTCGGCCATCCTGCACGAGCTGCTAGTCGGTGTCCCCACGAAGAACATCCTGGGTAAGATTCTCACACCCCAAATCAAATCTCTCCTTCAGATCGTCAAGCTCACCTAGAACCCAACCTCAAGGAGTAGCATTCATGGGCATGTTGGTCCAGATCCCCCTGATCTTCCTAACGCGACCGCTCGAGAACATGAAAGGCCCGAACGGCAGACTAATCGGCAACTGCATCTTCTGGGTCTCCTTCACGATCATGGGCCAGCCTTTCGCCGCGCTGTTGTATTTCTACGCGTGGCAGGCCAAGTACGGCTCCGTCTCCAAGAGGATGGCGATGGATAATATGATGAGTACAGGGGGGCCTGTGGTAGGCTAGTGCCCAAACCACCTCCTGAGTGTGATTACGATGGTTTGTCCCCGGGGTTTTATGAGAGAGAAATAGAAGGAAATCAAGAAAAGAGGAAGCTGGAGGGGGCTCCGGTTGGAAGTACAACTAAGTACGGCTTTGACAGCAGACGGGGCAGAGGTTGTCTGGCAGTATTTTGGGTCTAACTTTGTCAGCCGTAGAGGTTCGACCAGCCATTGTGATTAGAGGCGACCCGGTCGAGATGCTGGGTTCTGGCGGTATTTACTGTTTTTTTGCGATAATCAACAATATCTTGTATAAACACGCACGTTATAGCCTTCAAGCAAACGTGAAGCTTCGTGGTGTGAGCCAAGATTATACGTATCTACCTATAATATCCAAAGATCCCACTGCCGGCTTCACCGTACGCAGTACCTTAAGTGAGATGGCCACCTTTCCCGACATAACCATAGACGGGGGGGTGAGTAGTACAACTCCATCTTAACGTGCTGGACAGGATTACTCTTCCAACGTACCTAAATACAGAAGATCGCTAAACTATAAACATCAAGACACCTCCAAAGCATAGGTGCAAAACATAAATTCATTACTATATGCAACAAACTCCGGATAAATACTCCCTAAATCCCTTTCCAAACGTACTTAGACACCTCCCCTGTCCCTCCTCCTCCGCCTATCCCTATACCCGCTCCCCAGATCCATCCCCAGACTCGCCACCAGAAGGATGCCGTTAAACACGGCCATCATGTAGAACGGCGCGCCGCGCGACGTCACGTCAAACAGGTAGCCGCCCAGTTTAGTGAGCAGCAAAATGGCGGCGCCGCCGCACCACGAGTACACGCCCGCGATGGAGCCCTTGAGGTGGACACGCGACACGACGGCGGCCCTCCTGCCGTGACCGTGGCCGTTCTCGAGCAGCGCGGCCCTTTCGCCCTCGTCGTTGTCCGCATCCCCTCTTCTATCAGCACCACCAGCACCATCTCCCCCGGGAGCGAAAACAGGCACGTCGTCCGCCGCCACACCCAAAACCCCGCGGCCAAGCGAGCCCAGACTACACACAATCGCGCCGATCTGGCTCACGCCCAGCATGGCAACAACCAAAAACACAACCGCATCGCCCCCGCGTCCATCCACGTCCCTGAACTCGGGGCTCCTTAGCCGCGGAAACACCACATATCCCACGACACCCAGCAGCGCCGCCACCCCAACGCCCACATTAATCCCGCGCCAGCGCCGCGCGGCCACGTACCCAAAAGCGGGCGCGCACAACAGGGCGCACAGCTGCGCGACGCCGCTGAGGATCGAGGCGAGCACGTAGGCGGCCCGGCACTCTTTTTTTAATTCGGGCGACGGGTCGTGCGGCGACCCCGTGCAGAAGCCGTTGCTGATGTAGTAGGCGTTTATGTAGAGTGGTATGAAGAGTGATATGGCAACGGTCGAGGCGCGCGCGACGAAGCCGCCGAGGTAGCCGAGCGCGATGTGCGGGTCCGTGGCGCCGAGGCGGAGGGAGGTGAGGAGGAGGTGGCGGTAGGGGAGGGGCGTCGTGGAATCGTTGTGGGAAGTGGTGGTGGGTTTGCGGGAGGCCGGGACTGTGCCGTTGTCGCCGTTGGGGGAGTTGGAGGTGGAAGGAGAGGAGGTTGAGGTTGAAGTCCCTACGTAGGCGGCATCGTGAGAAGTGGGAGGATCCACGGGGGTACTGGACGAGTTATGCGCCCCTTTCTTCCGCAGACCGAGCAGCATGCGCCAGCCCTTGCCCTCCTCGCCCCTCAGCCCGCGCAGGCCAAAGAACACAAACACGGCCACGCATAGCGCGACAGCGCCCACGACGTAAAAGCTTTCCGTTATGGCCTGCGCGGGCGTGACACCCTCCTTCTTCGAGAACTGTGCCGGCAGCGGAAGGAACAGCACCAGCGCAACGAGGGCGCCGCAGCCCGTGAACAGGCCCACGTATCCGGCGAGCGCAGACGGCTTCTTGCCCCTTCCCCCGTGTCCACTGTCCGAGTAGTCGTAATACGATGCGCCGTCGTGGCTGACGCTGCTGCCCCGTCTGAGCTGGCTATCGGATAGGAACCGTTCTGGCGTGATTGTGACGTCGCTCTCGAGGCTCATGGCGACGCTGTAGCGTGGATTTTGGCGCTTCCGCCCGCCGTCCTCGTCCTCATCGTCACTCCCGTCCGCATCGCCATTCTCGGCGTCCTCCACATCCAATCGTCCCTCCTCATCCTCCTCCCTCCCTGCCACCTCCCCCACATCCCCATCATCCGTCAACACAGGCAACACGGCCGTGACCATGGTCGCCGCCGCCGTAGCCCCGACTGCAAAACACATCCTCGCAAGCACGAGCGCCGGGTAGACATTCCGGGCCTGCACGAAGCCGAACAAGCTCACGCCGATGACCGCATAACCAATAACGGCGACCCAGCGCACGCCGAGGCGGTCGCTGAGCAGCCCCCACAGCGGGCAGGCGACGAGAGCGACGAGCTCGTCTACGAAGCCGAGCGTGCCGACGATGTCGCCAACACCACGCTTGATGTCCAACAAATCCGTGATGACGAACGACACGGCGCTGTTGAGGAAAACCAGGAACGAGATGCTGAAGAGACTGATGCCCAGTAAGTAGGTCGTCGCCTGCAGGGGCGTCGTGGCGGCGCTGAAGGGGAGGAGGCGGGCGAAGCGCGTGCCTGCCATGTCGGCTGTCTGTCTGGCCAGCTCGCTGGCTGTTGGAACTTGGGTGGTAGGAAGTCGGGGTTCGGATCGGGTCGGACTGGATGGATGGTCTCGTTATAGCGGTGTCGTTGTCAATGCCGGTATCATGTGGATTAATGACGGACTCCCTGCTCCTTGTCTACTGCCAAAAACATCGTCCTGCTTGGGAACAACGAAGAAGAGACAGTGAGGCGGTCTGTTGTTATGTTGATGTTGATGTTGATGTTGAGGGTTGGTCGATGGAGCTTGAGCTCCTCTAGCTCCCCCGCAGGGATGATAGTTCGAGCTTCTGCGTGACGTTGGAGGTCCGTGTCGTCGGTGACGCCAAGACAACCTTAGCCTCCCGGTCAAATCCATGTGAATATTATAACGATAAATCTGGTACGCAGAGTAGAAGATGCCGCGCACTGAAACCGTGCATTTAAAATGTCTGGCGGTTGAGCACTGCTCACGTATATGTGAGTACACAGATTATTTCCTACACGTAGTTACATCGGGCTAATCCCTTTATCCAAGACAGTCACTGGAAAGACATCGTACACACAGGTAGAAGGTGTTTTCATGATTGCCTTGAAGAGTCTTAACCTGAGATCTTTGGAATACGCGCGAACCCACAGATGAGGCCGTGGTCGCCGCTGTCCAAAGACAACCGCATCATGAATGTGCCGCCCCAACGCCTGCAATAACGGACGGCTGTCTATGCCCAAACCTAGTCTCTACATGATTCCGCGTAGCGTGCCCGAATATCGTGCGCACACAAAACACATATACAGGACGAGCAGCGTCGTCGCGAGCTCGCGCGGCAAAATAACAAACGCGCCAGCCATCGCCACCAGCGACCATCGAAACTGAGAAATCCTTGTGTTCCAGTCAGTGTCGCGGCGAAAGCTGTGCTCAGGCCGAATGCCAGAGCTTCGTCTTCTGTTCCAGCCCGTAGTGTTATGCTCGTCATATCCAGCATCGTCATCATCATCTTCATCGTCCTCCCCAGTCTCGGATTGTCAACCAAAGTGGAAGTTACCAGGGAATCCCCCGGCGCGGCTGCGACCGCCTCCACCACCACCAAAGCCCCCCCCGCCGCCGAAGCCACCGCCTCCCTGATTCATCATGTTGATGATGATTTCGGGATCGATGCCGCCCATACCACCCATACCGCCGCCCATGCCTCCGCCTCCGAACATTTCAGAGGGGTCTATCAGGTCCTCGCCACTGTCATAGCGAGCACGTTTCCTATGTTTTGTTAGCTCAGGGACTTTTGATGTCAGTAGGTGTCCGGAAAACGTACTGAGAATCGCTCAAGGTCTCATAGGCTTCGCCAATGTCCTTGAAGCGTTCGGCAGCGGCCTCGTCGTCCCGATTCTTGTCCGGGTGGTGGATAATGGCGAGTTTACGATATGCCTTCTTGATTTGGTTGTCATCGGCATCCTTCGGCACACCCAGGATCTTGTAGTAGTCCTTACGCTGGCTCTTCTTGAGCTCCAGCTCGGCCTTCCGGATCTCCTTGGCAATCGTTCGGTCTTCGGGGTCGATTTCTTGGATCGACTTCCACTCCCGGACCGCCTCCTCCCATCTGTCAGCTTGGCCGAGCGCATTGGCCTTGGTCTTTCGAGCCTTCATGTAGCCGGAATCCAGACTGATAGCGCGCTCGCAGTCGACAATAGCGTCGTCGTACTGCTTCAACTTGAGCCGGCAGAGAGCACGGTTCTGCAAGAGCTTCGAATTCGTGCCTTTGTTTGTGGGATCGATCTCCAAGGCAGCCGAGTACTTGTTGAAAGCGGCTTGCCATCGACCGGACTTGTAGTCAGAGTTACCCTCTTCCTTCATTCGATCAAGCTTCTGCACGGTCCGGAGCCACTTGACTGCATCCTTGAAGTCCGGGTCGCAGCTCAGAGCCTTTCGGAAGTGCTGAATGGCCTTGTCGTTGTCGCCTTGCGCGTATAATGCACGTCCTCGCAAAACCAAGGCGTCCGGGTCTTGACTGTTCTGTCTCAACAGCGACATGGCCATGTTCTGTGCCTCGCCCAAGGAGTTGATCCCGCCCATCTTAAGGTGCGCATAGCCCTTCATCAACTGCCACTTGCGGGGCCGTGATGCACCCGGTCCGAGCAGCTTCTCAGCCTGCTCCAGTCCATGAATAACCATAGATCCGCTGATACCGCTGTCGAGAGCATTTTGAGCAGCCTTGACGTGTTGCTGCATGGTCCTTGCCGTTGCCATGTCTTTCGCCGACGGCGGAGGCTGTATTCGGCCGAAGGTAGTCATCGCTTCATCAGGTCGACCCAAACTGGTGTAGATTCGAGCGAGACGGAGCAGAATCTTGCCGTTGTGGGGGTCTAGGTCAAGTGCGCGGGAGCAATCCTCCAATGCGGCCTCGTATTGGCCGTCTGACATGTAGGCTGCAGCACGGTTGCTGAGGTAAGTGGCAGATTCGGGCATCAGAACAATAGCTAGAAATTTGAGTCAGCTAAATGGTGTACCTAAAACCGTAGAACAGCTCATCTTACCATTGGTGTATTCCGCAATAGCCTTCTTGTAGTCCTTCTCCTTAAAAGACTTGTTACCAAGAGACTTGAAATTCTCAGCCTGCTCAGCCTCGGAGGGTACCGGACTCGAGGGGTTTGAGCGATGCGGCGGGGGCGCAGGTCCCTCATCGCTGCCATTCTCCTTCAGTCCATTCGTGCCGGAGGTGGGCGAATTGATAGGGACAGCAAAAGAAGACTGCTGCTGGGGAGGCTGCTGGGGAGGCTGCTGGGGAGGAGGTGGCGAGGACGGGGCGTCGGTTGCAGGCTCCTTGTCAACATCCATCTTGTCGAAGGAACTCCGGTCGCTCATGGTGGATAGAGCAGAGAGACGCTTGATCTCGTCAGGAGGCAGATTCAGGGGATGTGTGTTGGGATCGTATTTGCTGCGCCGTGACGAGTCGGTGGCAGACTGGCGCGCGAAAGAGCGAGAGCTTCGCGACTTGGGCTGGTCCTTCTGGGTCTGACCAGGCGATGCGGGGCGCGCAGATTTCTTGGTGGGCGACTTGCTCGAGGTTGGGGAGGCCTTGACAGGCGAAGAGGGCGCCGACCGAGCGGGCTGCGACGGTGACGGCAAATCAGAGGTGAAGAGGGCTTGGGGGGAGCGTGGATGTGCGTGTGGGTGCGGATGCGGATGATGAGGACTGACGTCGTCACTGGGTGGGTGCTTTTTGGGAGATTTTTTGGAGTTGAAGAGGCCCTTCATTTGGAATGGAGAATGGCAGAGTCGGTCCACCAGAGTCCGGCGTTAACGGTTAGCGCTCCTAGTGCAGTGACCTCAGGAAGTTTTCGGCGTTCCAGTTGGTTCCCACGCCACTAATCGCATTACCTAAGGTAAGGCAGCCCTCAACGCCTTTGGTCGGTAGCGTGTAAAAAGGCAAAGGCACCAGCCGATGCGCCGCCTTTCCGCGAAGTCGGTAGTAGCTGGATCCTTGCAACAAGTTCCCTCACAACCTGCAGGTATGTAGCAAAGCGACCAGGCCAACAGCAAAGAGCAGTCCAGCAAGTAAGTGTATGTTCAACGCCAAAGACAGCTTGAGACTGTTGATGTCCAAGACTACTTCCTGCAAGACGGGAAGAAAGTGCAGGATGCGTGATGCAGATGCACAACGAACGATGCAGAGGTCGGAAGAATCCCCGGGGTGTAGGGTAGCCTCCTCTGTTGTTGGTGGTGCTGCTACCCCGTCACGGATATATCAACCCGTGAGACTGAGACAGGTGCACCAGCTGCTTTTATCTCCCTCGTTCCGTTTGGTGATGGTGGTGGGATGACAAGACAGCCTTGTTTTACTGTCGTTTCCCACGTAAGCCTTCGGCCAGGCAGCTTCGATGCGATCGCGGATTCGAGTGGTCCAGTCGGGTGCAGTCTAGAGGTAGCCCAGGTCAGTTTGGCTTGTTCCCCTTCGCTAGTTGCGTTTTGGCGGGTGAGTCTGATTCAGGCACGGGGCCGGAGGTGAACAGGACTGGTGTGAGTAGTCCAACGGGCACCGGGTGGCCTAGTAGACTCGAACCAGGACTGACGTTGTAGGTTCGAAGATGCAGAGATGGGACGAGGTTTGCGACTTACAATGCGTTGGGCTTCAGTCCAGGATGGGTGATGATGGGAAGAGAGAGCAACGATTTATCAGCCTGCCCAGAAGAGCACAGAACCAAACAGTAAAGCAATGCACTGCACTGCACAACAATTGCACAGCCAAACACAGCCAGTATATGCACAAAGGCAGAATGTGGTATGCTGTTGTGTACAGTATGTCTGTCCAGATGGAAATCGTCAGGCTGGGAGGCGGAGATTGGGACGGGAAATTTTTGTGAAATTTGGAGCACCCAGGCAACACCAGGTTCCGTCTACCTCCGCAACAAACGCAAACAGAAACGACTCCGCGGCAGCGAGCACAACTAAGCGGAAGACTCGACGAGTGGCAGGGCAGTATGGGAGTACCGTATACCTCTCGGAACTCCCCCGTCAGGGGCCCCCACACCGAATGACGACTGTCCAATATCCAGTGGTTGAAGGCTTCGTCAACCAATAGCCAAAGCAGAAACACTGTCTTGTTTACATCCCTCTGCATCTGCAGCACAGGCGGTTGCCTCTGAGTGGCCATATCTAGCTGTAACCCATCGTGAGGTCGCATCGACGAAGCCCGATCCAGTCGTTTTCCGAGAAAACAGAGAGGCTGAATGACTCGATGCGCTGGTCGAGGTTGCGATGCATATCTCCATCCCTCCATACTGCTCTAGCAACCGTTGAACGGCTCAATTCCATCAATGTGGTATCACAAATAACGGTTAAGTACCCGAGATGACTCGACAGGGGAACCCAAGCGGGCGCCAGGGGAGCGGGGGGCATCTCGAGGGCTTGCCGCCAAGTTGCAAGGGCCGCGAGCCTGCGAGATTCGTTCCGAGAGCGGCAGCGCCATCCTGTCAGAGGCTGTCACATCCTGCAGCCTCTTGGACCCCAGTTCTGCCCCTCAGCCCCTGTCAAGCCGACCTCTTTGATAGAACGCGATTCTCGAAGCTTCTGTGGGCTGGAATAATGTCGAAGATGACGCCCAGACCAAGGGAATGAGCGCAGAAGCGAGCGATGACTCGATGAGACTCGAACTGTTGCCAAGAAGGGAGTGTTACCGGTCCATTGTCCCACAGTGGATAATACTGGGGAGCCACGAGAGAAACCTGCGCACGGCAGCCTCACCAATGTCGCGATAGATGCAAGACATGTCAAGCGATGGATATGTCAGACTTGATTAAATAAGGTTGTCGTGGCTCAAAGGCTCCGAGCAGTCGGATACTTCAGGCGCCATATCTTATTTCGGCTGGGACATTGAATTTTAGGTTTATGAAGTTAGGACCGGCCCTACGGTGCTCTATGTTACTTACAATGCAACTTGTGCAGGTCACATAAGATGTCATGGCAACCGTAAATTCGCCTTCCGGCACTGAACCGTGATACATACCGTATGGGATATGTTGCAGCGCAAGGTCGATTTCCAGAAACTAGATAGGTAGTAAAGATGCCTCTTGGAAATATCATGTGCCGCCTTATTAAATACCGTGGAGGCAGCCCTCCAAACGTGCGAGCCGACCTCTCTGGTTGCTTAACCTTAGGGAGCAAAATAGGCTGAGACGGTGATTGAGATCTAATAATCCACGCCGGTTGCGTGGTCGTGCATCTAGACATGAAGAGCTTCGATATGTATCGTCCAACAACACTAAAGAGTCTCACGTAAATACATCGCTCATAGCTTCATTCATGCTGGACTCATCGCGGTTGAGGGATCAGAAGCTGGGCGCTGCATTCAAGACCCTACCCATGCTTTAAAGACTCCATGCTTTATAAAGGTTTACATCGTCCAAGTCCAATGCCACGCGAAGAACTCCTTGTACCAATGCCTAACCCAAAGCCGAATGCAGATATACCAGTTCATCCATCCATACCTCTTACACAAACCGCAGCGCAGCGCAACAGCTGCGTCCACACCCATGACCAATAAATAGACAAAACAACAATATTCAATCCTCGGAGGTCTCATGCGAGCTCGGCTCCGAAGCCCCGTTCCCGCCCACAATCGACGTGACGAAATCCTGATACCGGAACACCTCGCCGCGCTTGCCCAGCCCGCCATTGGCCATGCTCTTGCTGAAGGCGCGGCGGCCGCTGAAACCGGCCACGATCTTGTCGACCTCGGCGGCCGTCAGCGCGCGCTCGCCGGGTTCCGGCGCCGTGTGCAGCAGCGCGTCGCGCAGCTCCGCCAGGTCCACCTGCCCGCTGTCGTCGTCGTCGAAGGCCGAGAAGGCCGAGAGCAGCTCCGCGCTCGGCGACATGGCCGCCAGCGTCGTGGCGATCGAGTTCAGGAACACCGCTAGTGTCATTGTCTGCGGGCCGGCTGGCGGGAAGAACTGGGATACGTCGGATGCGCTCGCGGGGAGGCCTGTGGTTTGGTGGCATATGGTAAGCACTGTCCTTCCTGCTATTTTTGTGTGTTTCATGTTGGGAGGTAGGCAGTATGTCGAGGAAGAGTGGGATCACGTACCAAGCTGTGTGAGCATCTCCGCCACGTCCTCTCTATTGACGACCCCGTCGCTGCCCCTATCGAGGATCTGGAACCCGTCCCTGAGCACCCGCACCTGCGCCGGTTGTAGCTGCGTGAGCGCATTTCCATGTCCGATCGTCTGCTGCTGCTGCGGCGGCGTTGGCAGCGCGCGTGCCGTCGTCATGTGTACCGGGGAGCCGAGAGTCTGCGAGGGCAGCACGATATCTGCTTGGCTGTGCTTGCGTGCCGTCCAACTCTCCGAGCCCCCCGTCGACGTAGAATTGCTCGCGAATCGAGAGGGCGTCTGCAGGCTGCCGACTTTCGTGGGCGAGGGCGTCGGGCTGCTCTGGCGGAGCGCGGTCGGTGACGAGGGGGACTCTGGTCGGCGGAAGGGAGAGCTTCGAGGAGACCCGTAGCCCAGAGGAGACGGCTTATATCCCGCTGGCATGGCCTGCAAACTCGAAACATTTAGTCTGTTGGTCATAGTAGGCGACGAGTCCGGCTTGGGAACTCGGCTGTCTGGTGCGTTGGGGTACTCACCATTGTTGCGATTGCCTTTCGCTTTCTTGTCGCAGTCCAAGGTAAACAAACAGAGAGGCAGGCGATTAGAGCGTGAGTTTGCGCAGAGGCGTTTCAATTGAATAGGGTATGGCGATCTGTCTTTCGAGGTACGCAATATACTGGTGATCACGCGTTTGCAAGGCGGGTTTGATGTTGAGAATGTCACCCTTGCAGGCTTGCAGCTCGCGGTTCTTGGGCTGCTTGGTAGGCCAGCACAAGTGCCATGTGAAGGTGGAACTCCACAATGCGCGCTGGGTCTCCACAGCAACCAGCCTACCCCCCTTTTAACGTCTAACACGCCTTAAACGACATGCAGACTTATCAACTGCGTTGACTGTCAGAGAGTCGGAATTTTCGAATTGCTCGATAATCTCCATTATCTACTATGCTCTGCGAGCCTAGTTTCCAAACAATAAACTAAGATCTTCTCTGATACTATCAAGTTACATAAAGGTTCTCTTCTGCCCCGAGCCCGGGAACCCCACGTCTCCTATTCTCATTAGATGACGTCGTGTTTTACAAATACTATAGCCCAAGCCCGTGTCAGCCCTCAGTTCGGCCGCTCTACCCTCGTGGTAAGCGCAACTCTAAGGTAGCAAGGGCGCCGACCACGTGGAGGGTAAGGCAATGGGGTAATACATACGCAAGCTTCATTCGCAGAGTGGTATTCCAAAAGAAGCGGAACAACATGAAGAGTCAGCAGGTAAGATGGAACATAGGCTAAGTGCATGCTCATGCCATATGATACGTGTAGCCTTCGCTGTGGTGTCTGAGCGCTTGCCTGGTCGGCTACGAAGGTCGTGCTCATGGTTGGGGGTGGCTTCTCATAGGTATAGAACCAAATAAACACATCCAGCCACCCGTTCGCTGACCTGCCCCTTGAATCCTGGTTGTCCTCCATCAACGCCGCGGGCTCCATCCGAATACTTCACTCATCAGCTCTCTTGTGCTCCAGAAAATGGATGCTGTAGGCGGGATCACGTGCGCATCGCTGAGTAAGTGAACTTCTGTGTAGATCAGACGGAACCGAGGCTCATGAGCTCCCCGCCCAAGGACCTTGTCGGCTACCTCATGTAGCCGCATCATGCACATTCTCACGTAGGACTGTACGAGTAAAAGTCAGCAGCTTTATTCTTCATCCCGAACACGTCGCGCCACTCTCAGTACTACTAGCAACCATGGCAAGCAAGCGTGTGGAGCAGATTGCGGCACACCTAAACTTCCCCAAAGGCATGCTCAATGGCCAAGTCGCCATTGTGACAGGTTCTGGCCAAGGTATTGGTGCGGAATGCGCGAGATTGTTTGCCAAAGAGGGTGCAGCAGTGGCCATATCCGACATTGATGCTGGTGAGCCAGCACCTACTACTTGCACCGCCATGGGCCATGGCTCCCGCTAACACAGGGTACGCCCACCAGGCAAGGCGAAGCAAGTCGCTGATGAGATAAACTCGGCTGGCGGCAAGGCCATCGCGGTGCCAGGCGACATGCTAGATGACAAGTACTTGGCGGACTTGGTGAAGAAGACTGCAGAGTTCGGTAATGGCAAGATCCACATCATTGTGAACAACGCTGGCTACACATGGGACGGTGTAATCCACAAGGTGAGCACGAAGGCTACCAGTGTCTAACTTATAACCCACCGAACGGCATCTGATGGATGCCGCTGTGCAGACAACGGACAAGCAATGGGACACTATCATTGCCCTCCACGCCACTCAGCCCTTCAAACTCGTCCGATCTGCCGCACCTTACTTTCGTGTGAAGGATGGCGAGCCTCGATGCATTGTCAACATCTCCTCTACATCTGGTCTACACGGCAACGCAGGCCAAGCAAACTACGCTCTGGCGAAAGCGGGAGTTACTGGCCTCACCAAGACCATTGCAAAGGAGTGGGGTCCAGCCTTCGGCGTACGGGCCAACACTGTAGCGTTCGGACACATCATGACCCGCCTCACGGCTGCAAAGGAGGAGGGCGCGTTCGTAACGACACCGGATGGGGAGAAGGTTGCGTTGGGGATACCGGGTGCACAGAAGGCTGCTCGGGAAGCAGGTGCGACAGCATTTGCGGATATCCCACTAGGCAGGCCTGGTACGGCTACCGAAGCTGCCGGCGCTGTGCTCGCTGTCGTGAGCCCACTGTTCAACTATGTGAGTGGACACACCTTGAGCGTGACTGGAGGAAGGAACATGTAGGAAAACGTATAAGCTGCAGTAGCCATACGTCGGAAGTCTGCGAGGTGAACTTTGTGCCAGCGGACTTGGCCAGAGAAATCGTGGCCGAGGACCGGTATAGCGTCCGGATTCTGAACATATGAGAGGCGAAGACCTCCAATCAAACGAAGTTGAAGCAAGTCTTGCGATACGTTGCCCGACCAATGAGGCCTGAAGGTAGTCCAGAGCTGAAAGCGCTCTATTTCATGGGACCGGAGGATGCGGCGAGATCGGTCATCTCTCGGCAGCAGAGGTTAGAGGGCTCGCAGCCACTGGGCATCAACTTCGGAACGCACATCTTCTTCGCCGCATGGATTTTGCTCAGTATACCGTTCGGTAATGAACTATGCCGTTCACGAACATCAACAGGTATTAGTTCGAGGACCCCTAGAACTTCGAGGTATCGTAGCGGACTCTGGACATGCATGGTGAATGACGGGTTCTGGAGTCGAATCCAAAATTAGTCTTCAATCATTGCGCCACCTCGTGCACGGGGGAAGGCTCGTCTCAAGAACTTCTGGGAAGAAAGGCTGACAGACTTGTACGGGGAAAGTAGTCTTATTGATGAGTTGTTCCAGCGCTCCGCTTAGACAGCTTTCCAACACAGTGGACTTGCTCTGGGTGGCGAGTGTCATCCATTATGCAACAGCAACAGTAAGTAACTTGGATGACTCACCATACAAGAAGCGCCTCAATGCTAAGCAATATGCGTGTATACATGAATATCAGAAACCCAGGGCCTGGTGCCTACCTGACCGGACAGTCGATACTGGTTTTCACATATCCATTTCGGACTGATCACATCATATCGGTAGAAGGTAGATATCAAGAGCCCCTGGTTCCTTGCTCTTTTAGCATCTCGCGCTACGACGCCTTCCTCGCCTCAAGACTTGGCTTCTTGAACTGTGTATTCTAGATGCAAGAAGTCCCCCAATGAGCTGTAAGCTTCCCCTATGCGTATCTTCATCTAAGTTATAATATCCAGCCCCACAGTCGTGCAAACCCTCATCGGGATGGGCGTATCCCAATCTCGATCTTTACTTGTATTGTCTTCGACTTGAGTATCCCACTCATCGGACAACTGAACAAACCTTCGTCTGAGGTAGCACTCGGCACAGCAAATAGCTTCTGCCTCAACAGAGCTGTTGTGATGTATCTCGCAAGCCACAATATCCTGGATAGTCAGTCAGTCAGCCAGTTTCAGACGAGAATTGAAACCCTTAGGTCGCATATCACTTGAAGCAGTCTGGGCATATCAGTCATTCCAATGGATGGCTTCAGCTGTTGCTTACAAACAGAAGTCTGAGACTCAGGTGAATCCTTCATCGAGGGACTCAGTCAAAGCATGATTGCTGGTTGCTATCTGAATAGCTGATGACATCCCCTCTGAAATAGTCACTGGACAACCTGGGTGGGACAATGTAAGCTCTCGTCGACGATGACCGGATGACTTCAGCCTGCGTTCTCTTTGTCATCACATGCTAAAGAGAGACATGAGATGAAGGGCTCCCCATTTGTAATGCGGCAGATGAAACCTGGTGCAATATATATTCAGCTTGGATCTTGATTTCTGACCGTCTGCGCGCAAGAACCGGGCATGATGAAGCTGTGGAATTACCCAGACAGGAAACTTGATTGAGATGGAGGCGCTGCGAACGTTGGACGAGCTGCACGGGACAACTGGTAATCCTTGCCATGACACGCCCCAAGCGATTGTGGCTTGCGTTGTGCGGCCAAGGCAGCGGCCCAAACAAGCCCGTAAGATGGATGTTCCCAGATCCGAAAAGGAGTGGACGGGGCGGGACCTGATGATGAGCCCCTGAGATTCCAACCACAGCTGACCTGGCGTGCCTGGGCTGCTGGGCTTCTGGGCACATACATTTTGGGAGGAGCCGGCAGTTTTTAGGGGGTGTGTCAGGACGGAAAAGGCGCTAAGCAGGAGGCAGGGGTCCTCTCCTGGCCCGGCACCCCCTGGCCGGCCAGCCTTGATGGTTCTGATGGTGCAATCCCGTTGAACTTGATCTTCGCCAACTGATTGAATTTAGTAATAATTTACCCCTTGCCCCCCCTTGCCCCGACGGCCGACCCCACGCGGGAGAGGAGAGACTCAGAGCGGAAGTGCCCTGCAGATCGTCAACCTTAACACCACCCCTTATCAACTTCTAACTTCTATCAGATGACAGCCGGCGCAATCATGGCAACACGGATGGCAATGTAGCAGATCGTCTCTCGGGCACGCATTGACTTTTGCTTCCGCTTCCCCTCACTGCCGCTACCAGATGATAGATCCAACGCCCGCAATACCTCTACGTCAATCGCGAATTCCAATGCCCTCGATCCTGCAATCCTCCACACACGACACACGACATCCGCTGCTGCCATTGTGTAGCAAAGGGGCGCCCCTTCAGCCCTTGCGAACCGCATTGAAACAACCACCTTGTCCCATGTTCAGTGACACACTCGACACACCACCACATTGCAATCCCAATTGCTACGATACCGAATCAATTTGATGCCCTGTTGTAACGCATATCATCGTCAACGCCACGAGACTACTTCGGTAAGCGATCATCGGTCACGCCAGGGGAAATCCGCTTTGGAAGGGATCTGCAGTCGAACCCGCAGAAGGCGGACAGGTGGACCGCGGCAGCCCGTCAGCCAGTACAAGACCAGACCAACACCACCAACTGATCGGTCATGGCATCGACGCAGATGGCTTTCCCGTATCTCAGCCGGACGAATACGAACCAGTCGTACTCCAATGGCGTTGGCGGAAACCCACGCGCATCTCTAACCTCGTTCCCCTCCTCCTCGCGCTCCAACTCGGAGATGTCGCACTCCTCGCGCCCACCGCCATCTCCTCATCCTCCCATCACCGACCCCGATCGGACGTCGGATCCGAGCTCGCAGTCCAAGACATCGTCGCTAGGGAGTCAGACCGCCGCCTCGTCGTCCCAACATTCGTCCCTATCAGTGCCGCGGCGGAGCAACCCGAACGCACAATCACCAAGAAAGTTGCGCTCCCAATATCCTCGCCAGTCCACCGAGAACCATGTCGAGTACATATTGGTCGCGTCTTTCGACATCGACCGCGGCCCAGTTATGGAGCACCAGTACCCAGTCGCTATCACTGGGGACGAAAACATGTTGGCCGAACTCATGTTACCGGATCAGGCACATGCGCGTACCCAAGATTGGACCATCTTCTTTCTGCACAAGGACAGTAGTCATGAGGAGGACGAAGAAGAGCAGAAAGAAAAGGCAGCAAGACGGAGGAGAAGGAAACGGAGGAGGGCCAGGGCGGCTGGAATGATACATGAGGACGATGATGCTACCGACGAAGACGACGATGATGACGACGACGGGGAGGATGAGGAGGACGGAGATGGTGATGATAGTTCAGACGACGACGACGACTCCACTGCTTCGGAACCAGAAGGAGGGGAGGGCCCACCCTTGATATACGTGCTGAATCTGGTTTACACCAAACACGACAAAACCGTGAAGCGAGGCGCCGTGGTGAAGGCGATGGCTATATGTACTCGTCATCCCTTCTTGCACATTTACAAGGTTCGTCAGTAACGCCATGCATTTCGTCTGGATATACTGACTGTTCTAGCCACTCTTATTACTCGCGCTCGAGGAATACTTCAAGTCGCCAGTACCAGAGACGCTGGCGATGCTTTACGATGCTGTCAATAACATGGACCTCTCACTAATGCCAAAGCTAAGCACGCTTGAGAAGTATCTGTTGCAAGCCAGCGACAACAAGGATCTCTTCGTTGAGAAGTTTGAGCAAATGATCCAAAAGCGAATTGCTGAGGACAAAGCTGGCCAGGTCGGGGAGCCATTCGATGCGAGCAAAAGCCCTCCAAAACCGCAAGGAATATCCCGGGCTGGCACCAAGGCTCACCTGGAAGGCCTATCAGCATATTCCGTGCCGCGAGATACGCACGAGTTCGAAAGCAGAGTCATGTATAAGGGCATTCCAATTCCAGTCAAAATTCCCACAGCAATCATGCCCGAGACGGTGGGGGATTTCTCACTGCTCAAGATGATACAGAAGTTCTCGGAGCCGCATGCAAAGTCCATGCTGCCGTTCCCCATACATGCCCACCTGACCACAAATGGCCCGGGGACTCATCCCATAATGGTGCTTGCTAATGCGCTTCTGACTCAGAAGAGAGTCATCTTTCTGGGTCACAACATGCCATCAGGTGACGTAGCAGAGGCGGTACTCGCGGCCTGTGCTCTTGCATCTGGTGGTGTGTTGCGAGGGTTTACTCGCCATGCATTCCCATATACAGATCTTACCAAGATCGACGATCTCCTAAAGGTGCCTGGCTTTATCGCTGGAGTGACCAACCCCACGTTTGAAAATCACCCAGAATGGTGGGATCTGTTGTGTGATCTTCCCAGTGGGCGGATGAAGATCAGTAGCAAGATCGAAAACGCTCCCATCACGGAAAATCTGGTTTATTTCCAACAGCAAAACCCGTCATTTGCAAGTCTGCTGAGCGGTTCAACCAATACGACTGCGGATCTTACGGGGGATGTCGTTTTCATGAACGACATCCTCAGGAGCATAGCAGCAAGGCACGGCGAGCGAGTCATTCGAGCTAAGTGGCGAGACTGGGTCGTCAGGTTTACCAGAATAGCCGCAGCTTTTGAGGAGAGCGTATATGGCGCCAGTGCATTACAAGCTGGAGGCGACGAGCTAGAGGCTACCACAGGTGGCCATGGCTATGTCTGGGCGGATGATGCTGCAAAGCAAAAGGAGCTCGCGGGCAATGTATGCCGGATCGAGGGCTGGAGAAACACACGGAGCTATTACAGCTTCATCCAGGTGAGGATTGTTGTTCAAATCTACATCATCCACGAGACTGATTTGTGCCGCAGGACCTTGCCCAACTGTACACCATCCGACCCCTGAAGGGTCTCGACCTGCATCATATGCACGACCGGCTCCGGACACAGCGGCTCAATCCACCCCAGAGCCGTGAGGTGTATCTTGCCTTCTCCAAATTCGTCCATTCCTACGACGAAATATGTCTACTATTAACAGTGGCACCCGAGTCCCATGCCGGACTCTTCTACCTTGCGCTTGGGTTATTCCACAAAGACCGAGACGTGAGGATCAAGATCTCGGACCTTGTTGAACGTGTCAGTGAACACGAGGCCGGACAGCATTGGTGGAGGGGGCTGAGCCGGTATCAGAAACTCGCCTTCCACCGCATACGGCGGGAGGCAGAGGCGGAGATGAAGATGAAGCTGGAGAAAGAGGGTTATAGTCGCGACGTTGAGAAGCGGATCAGCTAGACGATGTTTTCCAAGAGGCATCGCAAGCGAGTTGATTTGTTTTCAATATTTCTTGGTACAAATATATCCAACCCTGTTATGTCATGTCACCCATATATTTGAATCACGAGACGATGCACAGACGTTTTTGTTTGAACAGCAGCATATTAATATGCCATTCCAAGCCTCTATGACATGTTACAGCCTGGGCCTGATAATCAGTCATGATATGCCAACTTGCGTACATTGCTCTCCCTGCAGTAAACACCGCTTCATATCACTCGTTCTACCAAGTCGATATGGCTATACGCTTTCCACCTCGAACTGACTCCCTGCCGACACAACATGGACAATGGTAGCCCTTTAGAGCAAGTACTTGGCCGCATGGTCGACGTGGTCCTGAGCAAACGTCGAGATAAAGAAGTACGAGTGGTCGTAGTCCTACACCAACATGTGTCAGCCAGCATCCCCCAACCCACAAATGGCAGACAGCAGACAGACAGACAGATGAGCGGGTAGGAAGGAGCACAAAAGACAAGAGAAAGAAAAAGAAAAGAAGAGGTCCATCGAACTAAACTCACCTCTCGATAATTGACCTTCACCCCACCAACGCTCGCCTCCTGGACCGCCCTCTCGAAGTTCTCCGGCAGCAGCTGGCCCTGTTTATAGAAGTTATCCCCCGTGCCGACATCGACCAAAACCCTCAAGTCATCCTTCCCCTTCCAATCGCTCCCGCGCACCAACTCCGTCGCGTCGTGCTTCTTCCACGCCGCCTTGTCTTCCCCCAAGTACCCGCCGAACGCCTTCTCGCCCCAGGCGCACTGGCTCGGGTTACAGATCGGCGCCAGAGCGCTGGCGCTGCGGTAGAGTGTGGGGTGCTTGAGGTATAACGATAGGGCGCCGTGGCCGCCCATGCTGTGGCCTGTGATGCTGACGCGGGTCCTGTCCAACACATCCCCGAAGCCGCCGCTACCGGGTGCGAATAGCGCTTCTGGTAGTTCCTTCACGATGTAGCTCTCCATCTTATAGTTCTCACTCCACGGTTTTTGTGTTGCATCGACGTAGAACCCGGCGCCGGTGCCGAAGTCGTAGCTCTCGTCCTCGCCGGCGATGGAGGCGCCGCGCGGCGAGGTGTCCGGGTACACGATCGCGATGTTGTGGCGCGAGGCCGCGGCGTGGAAGAAGCCTTTTTCGGAGCAGTTGTCCGGCGTGCAGGTTAGGCCTGACAGGAAGATCAGGACAGGGACTTTTCTGGACGGGGAGGTGGACGAGGCGGAAGAGGCGACCGAGGGCGGCAGGTAGAGGTTCACGGCCATGGGCGTGCCGGTGCTGCTGGATTGGTGCGAGAGCTTGAGGAGCTTGCCGCCGAAGGTGGCGATTGTGGCTTTGGTTTCGAAGGCCATGGTTGCGGTTGGGTCGGGTCTCTTCTGGTGCTTGTTTGTGAGGCTTTGTTGGATGAGTATGGATTAGGGTCTGTCGAGGTTACGAGTTGTCTAAGGTGGTGTCAGAAGAGCTGTGACGATATATGTGTGTAGGTAGATTGGTGGGGTTATTGGGTGGGTGGTACCGTGGGGACGAGTGTATAGGTAGAGGTTGTTAGAGGGGTTCACGATGACGATGGACCCGGCAGAAGGGGTAAGATCTGATGGTTCATGGATCAGTCGACAGATGTCAATTAACTCTAATAAAGAAGGCTTCTTTCTGCTTGTTGCCTCCCTTATGAACAGAACACATCGATGTATGCTGCCCCCTTTTCTGCAGCTCGACAACTGGCGAAGACGATCAATGATGCTATAGCCACATCAAGTACGACTCATCTCTTTCTCTCCTCCAATCCGGCAGTTTGTTTTCTGAGAAGAGGAGATACGAGCACCGATAGGAGCAGCTATACCCCTCGCCCCTTCGGCCCCGCCATAGGACGCCCACCGGCCGGCCCCACAGGAGCAACAGTTGCAGCATAAACTGTCGGTCATTGGCAAACCACCAAGAGCCAAACGCCAAAAATACTCCGAATGCCGATTTCCCCCATTCCCGCTTTTCTGCCACCCGGCAGCTGCGCCCAGAGAAGCAGTGATAAGAATACTCAATTGAATCCGTACTGCCGACACCGCGAGAAATCGGACTGGCCTGGCTGGCCATCGCAAACCGTGCATGGAGAAGAAACACAAGGATTCAGTTCCGGTATCTTGTCGGTTCTCTGATTCTTTTGCCATCTGCGAAAATCCCATCTAGAAGGCTAGGTACCTCATTCTGTCTACAACAACATATCCGGCCCTGTGGAACCACACATGGTGCGTCCAATATTATCTCTATTTTCGTGCTATCATCGGCGGGAATCGGTGCGACAGAGGACACGGTCGATCGACCAGATACGCCTGGGTCAAATTGGGTCATCGTCGTCATTATTAGGCATCAATCATGCTGTCGTCGTCGTCGTCGTCTCGTTCAAGCGGCAGTCGAATTCAAGTGGCAGTCGAACGACATCAGGCTCTTGTCCCACGAGATCTTGGCGAGGTCGTACTTCGCAGGGTTGCTGAAGTAGAGAGTGCCGCCAAAGGTGCAGCCCGTGGGCGACTTGCAGATGTCGGCGCATGTGCCACTGTGGTTCCTCTCATATTAGCTTCCATGTTTCTCGTGGATTCCTATTCCTGTACGGCGGACTTACACTCGAGGCCAGCAGTAGAATTGATCACCGTCCGGAGCGAAAGTCAACGTGTTCTTGGAGAAGCCGTCGGGCACGTCGTGGCAGTCTTGCAGCGAATAGACCTCGTAGTGGCAGTCTCCCGTAGCGTTGGCACCCTTGCACATGAGGACCTGAAGTACGAAGACTTGAGTCAGTGAATTGTCCTGGCTATAGCTGGTACTTTGGAGTTGGTGATTCGTGACTTACACCACCGACTTCTCTCTTCGCCATGGGCGGTCTGGGGTAGGCGGAGACACAGGCCGCAGCTGCGATGAGCAAGCTGGTGATGGTTGCGAACAGCTGCATGGTCACGGTGGATGGTTGGTAAGGTAGCGATGTTATGCCGCAATACTTATTCACGAGCCTGCGGCCGAATAAGGAGTATGAGTAAGAGAGTGGAAAGAATGTGCGTGTGTTGCTGTTGTTGTTGTTGTTGTTGTTGGCTGCCTGGGGAGGAGGAGGAAGAGGAGAGGAGGAGTCAAGCAGGTGAAGGGCATCTAAGGTAAGGTAAGGTAAGGTAAGGTCTGAGTCGCGACTGCTGAATCCTGATATCACAGAAAGGGAGTTGCCAGTTCAGGTCCAGGAACTCGGAATTATATAGTGATCGGCGGATCTCGCTTTCAACTTTGGACCCTTCAGGATGGGCTTGCAGACTTGTAGGATTCCTCAATGTGATGAGCTGACCGCTTATTTCCCATCCACGTTCCTACATGCACAATGGGCGGCCTGATTCACTGTTTCCCTTCGTGCGTTTTGGCTACATGTAGCCATTCCTGTATTCCATTTGCTGTTGGTCAATGCCACAATGGCGGTGGTTCAATGTTGCGTGACTTGTTGGTTTGCGCAGTTGCACAAACTACACCCAGCCCCAGCTTATTTGAGGTTTATCGCATCTGCCTGCATCTGATGATCGCCGCTTGGCAATGTCTCTTTGGGCCAAGAAGTTTGTTTTGTTTCCCGCGCTTTCCGGGGTTCAAGATTGCCAATCCTAGCAGGTCCCTGACTCAAGCTCCTTGAGACTCCATGTCATAGAGCAATCCGCCAGACGCGGCGATGCAAACGAAAGCAACTCGTACGATGAAAGAGTAGATGTCTGAGTGACGGGCAGGGCGGGAATACCTAACTTCGCGGGACCTGGCATGGGTAGCTGCTATATCTCGGTGAGAGGTACTAATAATATACCGGAATAGAAACATGCATGGGTGAGATCTCGTGTTCACGCATGCAGTACCAGCCTCCTCCAGTCCAGTGCGGTCTGGTTGGCCAGACTGGCTCGAGATGCACCTGTACGTCATCTTCCTTCCTCCCTCTCCCCCAATAGAGAACAGGATAGCTGCACTGCAAGCAGAGCAAGTCTGAGCAATTGGATGGTGCAACAAATCGGACCTCGACACCACCCTCCTAGGAGTCAGGACTTTGATATAGAAGAGTACGGCACGCAGCAGTGTCACATCGAGCACGGACGGCAGAAGCAAATACGAGTTGATCGACCACATCTGGCAGCCTGGGCTCGGGATTTCTGACTTGGCGCACATCATGTCACCGCCTATCACCTCGCAGCCAAGCAGCCTGACTTTGCATCCTGTCTTCAAATCCGACTGCATGCCGGCGCGGCTGCGTCCTTTGAGATCCGAATTAGGTAACCCTGCGAACACGCGAGAACACATGCATCGAGGCAAATTCATCCACAATGTATTGCTATTGATCATTGACTCGATCGGCTTTCTTATCACGAGTAGTATAGCCCGCGTCATCACAGTAGCAGAGGCTCCAGTGTGGAGAACAGGAAAGAATCACAGGCGAGGAACGGATTTTGGCAGACAGCTTTTTCAGTTATCTTATGCAGCTGTCACTCCCCGGGCTGGGGCCAGGAGGCGACCTAGCAACCATGACTAGGTAGGTAGCTGCGGCTTACAGCTGCGTGGGGTGTATGCCAGTCCCTGTACGTGCTTCCACCTCGTTCGTGAAGCAGAAGGACCATCTAAATCGATAGTGGCGAGAGCTCGAGGAACCAACCGCGTCTGTAGTCGAGAACCCTGGGCGGCTCAGCGAGAACCAACAAACCCGGAGGCTGTTTGCTGTTTCACCCTCCTGCAAACACACTCGAGCGGCTCGGCCAACTCGCCCGGGCCCGCGGGGCTATTGGCGTGTCCTCTGCTGTCGCGTAGTTGGGCCTGGTCCACTGAAGGTTGATATAACACAAACATCACCAACGGTGGCTGGCACTGCCATCAGTTCCCGTGGTTTGTGAAGAATGAACTTCCGACGAAGTCTGGTATATTCCCGAAACAACCAGTAACGCCTCGCTGATGCACTTTTCCCTACCATACCCCCAGCAGACGACTTGCCGACTTGGCCAGGCCTTTGTCCCAATGCAGTTCAGTAGCTACCGGGGAAGGCCATACTTATTCGCCTTCATCCGGGTTCTTGCGATCCTATAGATAGAACGCGCGAAGACATCCCATTACTACTGAAGCAGTTCTTCGCACGTCCAGTCCTCGTAGCTATGCCGGTTAGTGATCTTGCAGATAGGAAAGACATTGAACTCGAAAACATACTATCCATCGGGCATGTAGCGGCGAACAATAAGAGGGATCTTCTTCTCCTTCAACTCTTTGATAGCGATCTGGAGCGGATCGGATTCCCCCTCCAAGTCAACCAGGACAGGAGCATTCATACTGTGACACCCCAAGTCAGCCCTCTTGTGCTTTGAATGCGCCTAGGTATTCGTGTGCTTGCCTGATTTGCAGTGCCCGAGTGCCCAAGATGCGCGCCCTCTCGTACTTGGTCATATAAGGTGTAGTAGTTCTTTCGTCGGTCGGGATCTTTTTGTCTTTGATCGACGTGCGATCGGCAACGCCCTTTCGCAGGTTCGCGTTGGCAGATGGGTCGCCTGAGATGACCACGTTCTCCTCCTCCTCTGCGCCGCGTCGGTTGTAGTCATCGTCATTGTCATCGGGCACCTCAGGGTCGAGTTCATCTTCGTCGAACCGGTCCTCTTCTTCGTCCTCGAGCATAGGCTCTTCTCTGTTTACATGGGGTCAGTCCGGTGAAAGGGCTCCCGCAGGATGCGCCTGGGTGGAAACACTCACGGGCCGCCGTGGGCGACATCGCCGTCATCTCCGTAGTCGGACATGGTGGGCAAGAGCAATCACTTCCGAGACTCGAAGCGCGAGTTGGTATTGTGTGATGGAGGGTCGTTGCAGCTGTGCCGTTCATGCAAACCAAACCGTAACTGGAGGATGGCGCGTGGATGCGATGCAAAAAATTCAAGATGGAAGCGGGAGAGGCTGAAAGAACTTCGAGGTCACGGATCAGGCTGTGGCTTCGGGGGTAGATGTGGCTGGTGAGCATCCCCACTTGACCTGCCTTGCCTGCGGGCCCTGCCCGCGCCGGCATTGATTGTTCTATGTACCTAGATACCGTAGCCGCTAGCTCGTGTCGAATCCACTGTACAGAAAATTACCCCACTAAAACTTTTCGAGACCGCCGCCTTTCGTCTACAAATGCAAATGTCGGATTCCTTCACTGCCTTCAATTATCGAAAGCCAGGATGTAGCAGGAGCTTGACATTGTTCGCCATGAAGAGAAAGGCTACAGAGGAGCACGAGGCTTCAGCCCTGCCAAAAAGAGGCCGAATTAGCGACCCAGCACCGACCAGTTTCGTGGGTAAGTACTTCAACTCCAACAGCTCATAAGCCTGTTCGGCAATTAACCTCGTCATCTTCAGAGGACGTTGACTACGAACCTGAGCTCGACGATGGCCAATCTGACGATGGATCGCGGTATACCGGAACTACGTCTACATTGCCAGCAAGCACACCACTGACTCCGCTCTCTCCCGCCCAAAAATGGCCTTCCGACATTAAGACAATCAGGTGCACACATCCCAATTGCAACAAGACATTCAACCGTCCAGCTCGACTTGCTGCCCATCTAAGATCGCATACCAACGAACGACCTTTCAAGTGCCCTCACCATGACTGTGACAAAGACTACATGGAGGAAAAACACCTAAGACAGCACATCAAGGGCTCCCATTCAGCTGAACGAGAGCACGTTTGTGCTCATACTGGCTGTGGGAAACAGTTCATGACCGCCACACGTCTCAGAAGACACCAAGCAGTTCACGAGGGCCAGGAACGTTTTCGCTGCCGAGATTTCCCTCCCTGTGACCAGAGCTTCCGCAAGCACCAGACTCTACAGCGTCATATCCGATCCGAACACCTCCATGTCGCTGCCTTCCAGTGCAGCCACAAAGACAGTATTACCGGAGCGGTTTGCGGAGCAGGTTTTGACAGTGCTGGGCCGCTCAGACGACACCAGGAACGGGAACATGGGGAAGACCGTTATTTCTGTGACGATTGTGTCAATACGATCACTGAGGATGGCAGTACCAAGAGCGTAGGATTTCCCACTCTTACTCTCCTGCAGGCACACATGAAACAGTCTCACATCAACTGCATGTTCTGTGGAGTGCTCTGTGGCGGTAGAGAAGATCTGGAGTTGCACATCGAGTCACAGCACACCAGAAACGACCAAGAAGACAAGACAACTCTCGAGGAACGGAAAACCGTCGCTTGCACCTGGCCAGACTGCAGCAAGACCTTTACAAAGGTATCGAACATGAACATTCACAGACGTACTGCTCATGAGGGCGAACGATTTGTATGTGGCGAGTTTGACATTAACATGACCGAAGACCCATCTGTGTGGCCGCAATTCGAAGGTTGCGGAGAGAGCTTCAATGCCAAAGCTGGCTTGGAGAACCATGTTCGCTATGTGCACTTGAAATATGAACGACCGCCAACAAAGCCAGCAGAGAGAAAGGGAAAGGCGAGAGGTTTCACCGTCCTCGAGGAGTTGGCTGGTGGCGGGCAGAAGTCTCGAAGAACATTGCCATGCACGTTCCCCAGCTGCAAGCTCAAATTCGTCCATAGTGGCGAATTGGAGGCTCATGTCCAGGGCGAGCATGCCATCGATCAGGCTCTTCTTGACAATATTGGAGCCGCAACAGGAGAATCGGAGCGAATGCCATTAGAGCCACCAACAGCTTTCGGGGATGTCATGCAGGGTATGGCAGAATGGGAAGCAGATTATGGAGGCACGGAGTTTTGGATTGGAGGTGGTACCATTTCAGGTGCCCCGACTCCTGGACACAACGAGGAATGGCTTCGTGACGAAGCTGAGATGAGAAGGCTGATCGAGCCCGACAACCTGGATGGCTTGATTGACCCTGCCCTGGGTCTATGATATGGATGAGCAAAACAAAAGTTATGATACCCTTTGCTTTAGAGATGAAGAACGAGACCAACGGAGCTACACTGGGCGGTCTGGTCTGAGCACAGAGACTACATGTAAATGAATAAGATCGTAATGATATACCATGCCCTCCCTACCCTTGTGATGTAATCTGGCCTCGTGTCATGGACTATAGATCAACATAAGCATTTGGGTCTATGCTTAGCCATTCTCGAAACAGCCCCTTTCCGGCAGTATCTCACGTTACGATGCAGACCGAGATCGTGCCAGTTACAAATGGCTGCAGCCGCAGGATGGCAGAAACTATGGAAATCAATTGACTCACATCAGTACACTGCACATGATGCAAATGACGGGCCACCTCAGACACACGCAATTTGGTCCACGGTCAGATCGTACATTGTCATTAGCCGCGGGCCATACCTACGAGCAGCATTCATCTCCGCCTTCGGTCCCAGATGAGGTGGTTGAAAGACATTGATTATTATCTAAAGGTGCAGCTTGTTGCTGAGTCTACACGTAGTCTACCGCGGGGACCCGTCTTGCTTCCAAGATGAGTGTCCGGGCGGAAGGTGTGTAGTGGCAAGCAGTTTTGACCATCTGGACGGTCAGGGGCGAAGGAGAGAAACCAATCGTGAGGAAGGAAGAGAAGCGGAATGAAATGGCAAAAAAGATATCTTACCAAAAGAACGAGTTGTTAGTACTTCGGATGACATCGATACGTTTAGCGGGAAGCCAACAGCGACAATGCTACTCTCTGCCTATCGAAATTCAGGCCGTGAAAAGATCCAGCCGTAGCATAGACTCTGCTTGAGGCACTATCTCCAAGAGGCAGCAGAGTGCCAGTTCGTCGATATTGTGTTCTACGGCTATATGTTAAGGTGCTGACGACGATCCTTGAAGTTGAACCGAAGAACAACTACCAAGTTGGGTGTGCGTAGAGTTGAGCGGTATATGTGAGCTTAGTTATGTTTTATCTGCAAAATGTAGTATTGTTGCTTGTTTTCCAGGGAATGTCACACCTGTCTCTTATGTTAGGATATAACGTTGACTACTTACGTCACTCAAGCCGTAGTATAAGATGGAGACCAACATTCCTCTGGAGTAAAGTAGACTGTTGTCATTGTGGCATCTCGAATGGCATACCTGGTGCTGAAGCACTTCTATGTGAGCTGGTTCGACAGGTAAGTCACAAAACCTCGTCCCATAGCTTGCTTGTGTGATGACTCAAAATCCACACTAATCACACCATTCACAGAGGGAGTGCTTGATCTTCCAAGCAGACATCAATTCAGCCGTGAAGTGCTCCTAGAAAGCCACTACGGAAGATGAACATCATTCTCAAGGCCAAGCGGGAGCAAGCCATGAAGCACGAGTATGGTTGAGTTCCAGGAAGCCTCGGCACCAAAACAATGTCAGGGTAATGCGCAGAACATCTTTCACGAGAGACCCTGTGATAATTCGCCTAGCACCAGCCAGGCCCTCCACTCTCGAGTATTGACGAAGAGTAGGTCCCAATGCAGCACCTTGTATGTTCCGAAGCGATCCTACCAACATGAACTTTTCATAGAAGAGCTACGCATGGGACAGCTGATCCCACTTGTAAGCAAACCGCACTGTAGCCAAGCAAGCGACGGGCTTGTTGAGTCTTATCATATGTACATGTGGATTGTGTGCACTAGGATTGTATGGCACGATAGTTCAGCGTCTGACTCATGGCTGCCTTGCTTCCCAAACCCAATCGATCAGCCCTAAGTATTGCAAGGTTCTCAATAACCAACTTCCACCACGACGTGCGAAGTTGAAGTGATACGTCTCGGTGGTGTTAGTCTCGTAATAGCGCCATAGGGTCTCCAGATGAGCCTCAGGCCTTTCCAAACAGATAGCCACGAAGAAGTGTAAAGTGCGACAGCAAAAACGGTTGTATATGTCGGAATTTGTTGGGACGGTGTTTCGAAGGCGACAGAAACGCATCAAGCTTCTTGATCTCCTCGTCATCCCTCCCTTCCCCAACCGCACGATTGAGTTTCCCATCGTCGAACGCAATGCCGTGCCACAAGAGTACGCCGAGGAGTTGTGCCTTCCTGACCACCGCCACTCTCCCGGCGTCCTTGGCAAGCTCTGGGATAGCGAGCAAGAGCTCTCTCCAGTACAGCGTGCGGAGCTGCCTGGCTTCGGGGTAGTATACGAAATCTCCGTTCCTCTCCTCGCCCAGTAGCTCGTCTAGGCCGTACATACCGACACCGAACGGTAGCCACTCTGCCTCAGCCCAGTCCAGCAAGCCGAGCAGCTTCCCGGAGTCGAGACAGATCATGACGTTTGCGGGGAGGAAGTCGCCGTGACTAAACGTCCAGGGCAGATGTTCGATGCTTGCCAGCTCGACGAGGAGCGACCTGGCAGTACCGCGAAACCGCAGGGGCAGTGTAGCGGCCATCAGTTCCAGACGCCACCGTAGCGATGATCCCACAGTCCGCTTATCCTTGATGGTCGCGGCGGCTCTGCCATGCTTCCAGCTCGTGGCTTGCAAGCGAGCAAAGTCTCGCACGATCTGTTCCCTCTGTGACCTCAGCTTCAGAGGGTCGGGCTCCGCTCGAAGATCTGAGAGAGACACGCCTGGGATCTTCCTCATGGAAAAGACATGCAGGCCGGTGTCGCCCAGTTCTCCCATAGATTCGGTCTCGGGAGCTAGATGCCCAAAGACCTGACAAGCCACTGTCGTGATCTCAGGGTCTAGCTTGTGGGCCGAGGGCCTGAATTGGACGACGGTGTCTTCGCCGACGAATAGCGTATACGAGCAGTAACCCTGAAATGGCGCAGGCCGGATGGCCTGTTCTGGGAAGCGTGCCTTGACGAAGGCGTCACACTTGTCTCTGACGCTGGCGGGTAGCTTGCAGCGGCCGAAGAACGGCGTGAAGGAGATGCCTGAATCCTTTGGCAACTCAGTCATGTCGTGCTATGTTTTGGTGTGAGCATGTCTGTGGATGTGTACGAAGTGTCGCGACAGGGCGAACAGAGTCTGACGACGCTTCAGAGCTTATATACCTCGGATGAGCCCTGGAGAGAGCTTAAGATCAACGAAGCCCTACATGTGGTCGAACGACTGGATGAGGCATTGAGGGGTAAATGGCTGGCTTTAGGCTGGCTGACAAGCCATAACATGCAACCACCACCTTTCTTGTAACCATCCCAGAATGGATGACGGGATACCCAAGATGGAATACCCCACATGCGAGCTGGTAAGTTGATAACTTTGAAGGTCAGTAGCAACTATCTCGGCGGCTATCGCGTCTGCTCAAGACATGCGTGCATGAACCGATATTCTCTGATGACCACCCAACTTAAAACAAGCCACGGGGTGCACGCGGTCGTGTACTGTTGAAGTTTAAAGTCTCCCATCACTGCATGTGATGATCGTAGGGCTGTCAGAGCCATTGTCGATTTCTCATTGATTCGACCTCCCACAGCGTTACATACACCCTTGATGAGCTTAGGGATGAATATCAACTATCTGAACTATGCCCTACTCTTAAATTTTACTGTCTTTCTTCCGTGACAACTCTTAAGTCGAGCAGTCTAACCTCTGCAACCGAACCAACTGGGCGCACAGCATAAGTACGGGAAAGCTTGTGACATCACCCGAACACCCTCCAAAGCCTGCACAATTCCTTCTTAGTCTCACGTCTGCAGCATGTATGGCTTTTCTTCAGAGAAATGGGGCGGTACCTTGATGTCGGCCAACTTCGGCTGAAGTCGTCAGGAAGTGACTGGAACGTCTGTCAGATGGCCAACCATAAGGGGGGGGGGGGGGGTAGAATGTATGTTGTTCTGCAGAGGGCTACAATACTAATCAGGCCTGGGGGTCATGTATATGTACATGAATGGTTCCTTTGTTCCCAGGATGTGCTTCCTGACAACGTCTAGGTACACAAGATGGCGGTGCTTGTGTTTCCGCATAACCCGTTTCTAATCATTGAGTAAGAGCGACACTCCCACGACACTCCCACGACACTCCCATCATCAGGGATGGCTCCTGCTATACACAGGAAAGTGTGTACCTGCCTAGGTACCTATAGTGTTTTCGCGTGCTTGGCGGTCATGTTCCAGTTTCGGCGTGACCTTCCCTGTCATCACAAGTTGCTTCAGTCCCAACAAAAGACTTGTTGCTGCATTGGTTTCTGCGGCCCAGAGCCGCTTGGGACCGCTGCCCGACTGTCCTTGACCGAAGATGCATTTATGAATACCGGTCTTTTATTTGTCGAACAACTCGAGACCGGGTGACTACATACCTATTTCCTAGCTGGCCCAGTACGTCCTCTCGTCACCGTACTGCTTACTTCACACTCATTGAGTACACACATCGCTCTCCAGTCTGTCCAATTTTGGACGACATGGCGTCTGAACTCCCGCCGCCAACCAAGAAACGAATCATCTTGTGTTGCGACGGTACCTGGCAGAACTCGTAGGTGTGAAAGCATTGGACTCGCCCTCAAGGAGCTGACACCTTCAGCGGCAATGGCCTGATGCAGATTCCCTCCAACGTGACACGGATCTCGAGATGTTTCAAACGACGATGCCGCGATGGAGTTTTCCAGGTCATTTACTACCAATCCGGCGTTGGCTCCCGATCAGATCTGATCGACCATCTTCTCGGTGGTGCTCTTGGAGTTGGTATAGCCGAGGTCAGTGCCAATCCGACATTGCGCTCGGCAGGAAAGACTAATACAGCACAAGAACATCCGGGAAGCTTACGCCTACCTCTGCGCCAACTATGTCGATGGGGACGAGATCGTCATCGTTGGCTTCAGCCGCGGTGCTTTTACGGCAAGATCCATTGGCGGCATAATATCCGACCTTGGATTGCTTACACGCAAAGGGATGTACTTCTTCTATCCTGTCTTCAAAGACATGCAAAACTGGATGAATCCAGACTATCAAGACCCGTTCCCGCAACAGCCATTCTCAGACAAGCCGAAGGGCGGTGACGCCGTATACGAGTATCGAAAGCGACTCCTTGAGGTAGGGATTTGCGTGCTACATCAATACCCACGGCTGACTAGGTACAGAAAGGATACACCCGTGTCAAACAACATCGTGGCCAGGGCGATTTGATCAGGGTTAAAGCCATTGGTAGGTCTATCACATCCCGCATTGGGATGGCGAGTCCATATAAGCTAAGCTGACTCTACAATACTGGTAGGGGTATGGGACACCGTTGGAGCTCTTGGATTTCCCGAGGTAGAGTTCTTGTCAAGAATCGGTATCAAACCACGCAATGACGAATAAGTCCACCTCGAGCCCTTCGATACTTCACTCACAGACTGACCGGCAATTACATTGCGGTTCTACAATACCAATCTCTCGAACAAGATTGAGCATGGGTTCCACGCACTCGGTTTAGACGAAACCCGTCGCCCGTTCACCCCAACTCTTTGGGAAAGGCAGTCGGAAGATCAAGACTCTTCCGATCTTCGTCAGGTCTGGTTTCCCGGAAGCCACAACAATGTGGGAGGCGGCTGTGAGGACCAGGGTGTTGCCAATACCACACTCGCTTGTGAGTCTTACGACTGATCAGTCTCCCGGCCCATCTATGTTACCATCTCAGTTCGTGACTGACACGGTGCCAAGGGATGATGGACCAGTTAGCTTCTGTTGGGTGCGAATTCAGGGGCGACTGCCTCGACAGAGTCTACGAGCGCAACCGGGAATACTATTTGAATGCATCAGCACGATCGGAGGTGAGTATCCTGACTGAGTTGGCTGCATGTTGCCGCGGCGCGCCAGCGAAGAAGCCTCGCCCGTGGGCAGTTCATTCAATCTTCGAGCCCAACAATCCTGTTCGCCCCTGGTCATTGCACGCGATCGAAACCGATCCGAGCCCGCTATATGCCCTCGCAGGTTACAAAACTCGATCACCAGGCATGTACCGGAAGATCAACCCGGATACTGGTCGTCCCTTGAAAGCCTTTCTCGAGGACACGAACGAGCGCATCCACAGTAGTGTGCGAGTTCGACTGGCTTGTGGAGGGCTTGGACCCAACGATTCGGGAGTTTGGCACTGCCCGGCCTTACTCAAGTATTGGCGCCCCTGTCAAGTAGCTCAGCAGTTCGACGATCCGGTCCCAAGGGTTGCGAGCTGGGGACCACAGGGATCTAATAACGAGCCCAAAGTCACCAGCATCGTCGACACTAGTGACAAACTCAGCCGAGGATCAACTGATACTGACGAGACGGCGAAGGGAGCAGAGAACGAATCAAAGGATATTGCGAGTAAGGGCGGCGACAAGGCAGCTGATATTCCGACCGTAAGCAGCGATCCGGTGGATGGGCTGCGATGGGTTTAGGAGTACATTGGCCCCGAAGCAGCTGCGCCGAAGGTCAGGACGATGGTTGAAGAGAACATGGGACCCTTTGAGAGACACCTCTTGGAGCTGTCGTCTGGTAAGGTGCCTGTCATTTGCTACGCAGAAAACCAAGACCCCAGCACATTCAAAGCCTTCACCCACAAGGCTCTGAGAAAGGCGATGAAACAAGCGGAAGACTCGCAGGAGCCTGCGGTTTGAGCTGTAGTGGGAGACTCGAGTGGTATGGAATGGAGTTGGGAAGGAATTCTTTCGTTACGGGCAACACCCTAACCCTGACCCTTACTTAGTATAGCATCGATAAATGAAATCCTTATTGACGAAGTGAAAGCCCCATATTGAGTACGCAAGCATACATGCCCGAGATATACCCTTATCTCATGTTTGTCAAGGTTGATGATGTTTTGTGATGGATCTCGTGCGAAGCCATCACGTGAAGGCAGGCAGCGATCAAACATGCAGCAGCAATCGAGCCAATTCTTCAGTTGTGACTAGTGGCATTCGGCCTTTCGAACTTCTTCAATGCCAAAACCACCTCTTGATTGATATTCCACTCAAACTCGGTAAGCACTTCCGAGTGCGCCAAAGCCCAAGATGTTGTCGATCCTCCGAAAGGCGCGGTTGAAGGACAAGGAGATGAGAATCTTGATGCTGTGAGTTTCCCCTCCACCTTCGGCCCCGAACCCGCCGTCGCACGACCTACCAAGACACCGTCTCGGTTGCCGCGACCATTTACCTACGGTATCAATCATCAACCGAGCTAGGCTTCCGACGCGGACAATTTTCGATCTGGACATGGCACGAAGCTTGAGACTGAGACTGACGCGACCGGACTGGTTCCTAGGGGCTTGGATAATGCGGGAAAGACCACCATCGTCAAGCGGGTCATGGGCGAGGACGTCAATACCGTCAGCCCGACGCTGGGGTTCATTATTAAGACGATTGATTACGAGGGGTGAGTTCAATGTTGCTGCTTTTTTTCTCAATTGACACTCACTACCTGCACCTGGGCCTGGGCGGTTTGGCTGGCTGGCTGGCTGCTGGGTGGCCCCTTTTTCTTTCTGGCTGTTTCACTGACTCTTTCGTAGGTACAAGTTGAACATCTGTGAGTAACCTACCTACTCTACCATACATCCCTTATCACTCATTGGCCATGATTGTCGTGCCTGGGGTTATGTGACGAGATTGATTTGAGATGAGTGGAGTGAGACGAGGCTTTATTACTGATTTGACTGCGACGGAAAAAGGGGACGTCGGCGGCCAGAAGACCCTGCGCTCGTACTGGCGCAACTACTTCGAGAAGACGGACGCGCTGATCTGGGTCGTGGACGCGACCGACAGGCTGCGCATCGACGACTGTCGCGAGGAGCTGCACGGGCTGCTGCAGGAAGAGGTACGTTCTGTCTCGCGTTCTATTCTCCCTACTTGGCTTCCTATCTACCTACACACGAGGCTCCGCTCCCTTCTATCTTTCTACTTCAGAAGCAGGGGATTGATTGACTGATGACTGATGATGTGGTGTCGTCGCAGCGTCTCTCGGGCGCGAGCCTGCTGGTCTTCGCCAACAAGACGGATGTGCAGGGGTGCATGGACGAGGCCGAGATCCTCGACGGGCTCCGGCTCAAGGATATCCGCACGCATCAGTGGCATATATTGCGGTGCAGTGCCATGACGGGCGAGAATCTGAAGGAGGGGCTGGCTTGGGTGGTGGAGGATGCTAAGAAGAGATTGTTCCTGTATTGATGAGTGTTCCGTACCTCAAACTCGGGCGTCGGGAATGCGGGATCCGACTGCCTGTATTATATAAACCTGAAGTCCTCGAACAACCGGCTGATATGAGAACATTACTTTTATGACTTCTAAGGCTAGGAAGAGAGCCTTGCGTAAAGTCTCTAGTTCGTCGAGATTTCATACGGTAATGTTACGGACTAGTGGGGTACCGTAGATAGGTGACCGATTTCTCACGATTCTGCGTTTGGATCATTGGCAAAGCATCGAAGGCTGGTTACCCAGGTGCTCAGGCAATCGGTAAACTCACAAGCCTCGCATTTCCATAAGCCGGGGACGGACGATTATGGTAGTGTCTGAGCCACCTAGCATGAGCGCCGACGAACATGCTGTCCATCCAGGCCCTGTTCGAGGACCTGGGGAACAGGAACAGGCGGCCTGTTGCCGGTTGATGCGGCCGAGCCACGCCTCATGTTGGACATCAGCACTGGGCATAGTGGGCCTGACCGACTACGAGTGCTTCTTCGGACCCGGGGCGCGGCGGTCCTATGCGGCGGCCGAGATGGCGGGCGTGGATGGCCGGGCACGAAGACGGCGGACAGGTTCCGGGCGGCTTTGAATATGCCTTCCTGTTGCTGCGAGGGATGTTGCTGTTGCTGCGAGGAGGGGCGTCGGGGCTGTCATGGCTGGGATGGAGTTCCTGGGTTTGATATCGTCTGCCGTGTACGGATTGTAGGACCCAGTCAGATCCCCCATATCAACGGTGATCTCGGTGCATCTCGTAGCTCGCTGGGTGAAGTACCTAAGAGAAGTAGTTTATCATGCTTCAAGTGGGAGCACTACCTAGTGGTTTCAGAGTCTTACACCTGTGATTAAGCCGTCCTTGTTGTAGAGTGGAACCATCAGTCATCTCGAAAAGAAGAAGATGAGACCAATGACTCCAGGAGGTCATCCGGTAGTCACAGTGCTCAAGCATTGACGACGTCTTCAATTCCAATCTCATCAGAGGCACGCATTGCGTAATTTATGATAAAATTATACACTCCCGGGTTGTCCTGTAATGACCAAGTTGTTACCATTTACAGGTCACTGGTGGTGCCTGTCTGCCAGCTGGCCAGGTACAGAGCGTCACGGGTATCCACCCGGGCAAGGACAGGCAAGGACAGGGATGCGGAGCGGCGGCCAATGCACTGCCATGATTCATCCTGCCCACCTGCCCACCACCTGCCCACCTGCCCACCTGCCCACCTGCCCACCTGCCCGGCCACCGGCATCCCATGTTTCCTCCGAAGCTGTTGTTGACGATTCACGAACCCACATGCACTTGAGCAGATTCTAAAATAAGCCGAGAGTCTGACCCATCGCCAGCGACGCCAGCGACGCTCGTGACGTCCACCCAAGCGCAAACAATAATAGCACCCGGCCTGCTTAAGCTTTGCGCCTACCCCCTTGCAGTAGAGCCCGCCCGCGCGAACCAACCCGAGACAGCCCAAAAGACAAAAAGAAAACAACCCGACTCCACGCGTTGCCGTTGCCGTTGCCGTTGCCGTGACATGCGCTGCCCTCCGAGGCCATAAACAATAGTACACCATCCCGATGTCTGAGGACGTGTCCCGTTTTCTGTCCCAGGTGAAAGAGTTAGGAGAACGACGAATCGAAGAGGATGAGGCTCGGTCGAGAGAGCTAGAAGAGAAGATACTGCAAGAGCGCAAAGAACGACAGGCACGTCGCGCAGGTACGCACACGCACAATTACACTTTCTGTATTACCTGCCCTCCAGCCCTCCAGCCGTGGCCTTCGTCAGCAACAACGCGGTCGGGGCATGTCCCCAAGAACACCTCCGAGGCCAATTGCTTTCTCCTCGTGCCATCCCCTCGCGTTAGGTAAACCGGAGTCGCAAACTAACATCTCTCTCTACTAGAACGCGCCAGATCCATTTCACCCCAGAAAGATTCCTCACCCGCAAACACCCCGCCACCGTCGACTCATCGCACCAGCGCCCAAGGCCCTGAACGCCTCAACCTCGAGTCGTCTCCTGTCATCGAACCTCCGGGCAGCCCCCAGTCGCGTTCCTCACTCCAAAGCGAGGACATGGCCGCCCCAGCCGGCTTTTGGGCCTCGGCGTCGAAAGAGAACGAATCACCTTTCGATGCAGAGCACAAGCCCGCCAGTCCGCTTTCACCCACTCGAAGTGGCTCGACCGCAAGGGGGTTGTCGTGGCAGAAACGTCCAAACTCGCAAGCATCCGAGAGGTCCCGATCTCGGCCGCTGTCCGTGTTCGCAGCTCAGAATGCAGCCCGTTCCTCGAACAATCCCCCCGAACCCACGTCGGCCACCGAGTCTGTATCGAGAGACCAGATTGCCTCGGCATTGTCTTCCAAGGACCCTTCGTGGTTCCGCCAGACAGCCGATAGAGGTGCTAATTCGGCAGCGTACCGACGAAGTCAGGTGGAAGACAAGCACACCGTAGACATGTCCGCCATGCAATCACAGCTGCCGGGTATGTCGCGTGCTACCTCGGGCGAATCTGCCAGAGAAGAGACGGTTACTAGCCCGGACTCGCCCTACCTTCGTGGCAAGCTAGCTTCACCACTGCCCCTATCAAGCTCGCAAAGACTAGACCCACCAGGCGCAGAAGCTCAGCCAGAAACCGAGATGGATGAAGAGACGCAGGGTTTCATGCCTCCACCACTCAGACGAAGCTCGCCCTCAAAAGCCGAGAGACCGATATCACCAACGAAGGGCTTGGGAGGGTTTGTGCAGAGTGCCATGATGAAGCGTTCCGACAGCGTGAACAAGAGATGGAGTGTCCAATCACCCGCAGGTCTGCAACGCGCAGACTCTGTTGTTTCAAATCGCGATAATTATACTCCTAGCACCCGGATTGGCGCAAGCGCGAGGTCGAGGTCAAGACCGACCAGTTTGTTCCGGGAAGCGTCTTCTACGGAGCACTCGAGGCCAGGCTCTAGCCACGGCAAAGAAGAGGGCAAAGCCTCGACAGGCGCCGACGATACGTCTTTCAAACGGAAGGACACGACATCGCCGGAACCTCAAGAGCAGGAACCTGAGCATGTCACGCCTCCGACGAGTCCCTCCAAGACCATGGACTCTCGCAGATGGAGTCCCACAAAGGCGAGCTGGCTTGAATCTGCGTTGAACAAGCCGGAGTCTCCAAAGCCGAAATCCGCCACTCCGGTTTCCAATCAGCCAGCGTGGATGGCAGAGCTCCAGAAGGCCAAAGCACAAAAGACACCCAGCTCGGGACCAGAGAGAGGTAGGTCTCCTACTGTTTCGCACAAGCACCAAGTTAGTATTGGCGGGCTTATGAGGTCCTCTGCTCCTGGCATTACGGCGAAACCCCCTACACCAGCAGCTCTCCACAGTCCGTCCCTTTCTACAAGCAGCACTACCCGCCCTGCCTACGCCGCTCTTCGCAAAGAGTCATCAAGCTCGACGACGGTCGATATCGGAACTGCCAAACCTGAAGTCGCTAGTGAGAATCAACCGCCTGCAGAGAGTTCACCGACTTCAACGGTGCCGCCACCCGCCTCCAAAACAAAGCCGGAGACCCCTCCAAAGAAGGACTTCCGGGCAAATCTGAGATCTCGACAACTGCCCAGTACTTCTGGCAGTGCCCAGCAGCCCGAGTTCAAGAATGTGTTTGGCAACCTTCGGAAGACAACTACGCATAATTACGTTGCCCCAGACGAGCTCAAGGATAACATTCTTAGAGGAAAATCAGGACTGAGTGCCACTGGAGGTCCCCAGAAAAGTGAACGGAAGGATGAGTTTAAGGACGCTATCTTGGCAAAGAAGCAGGAGTTCCAGAGAGTACAATCTGAGGGTCGAGGCATCACGCGGCAGGATAGTGTTACGGGCGAGAAGACACTACCCGAAGGTCTTGCGAAGCGGAGAGAACTTGGTCGATCTAACACAGTGAAACGGGACTCCGCCACGTCCGATACGATGGGCTTCGACTCCAAAAGATCGAGCGCTGTATCAAAACGAGATTCTGTCCCGGAGCCGTCGTCCAGCAGATCAGCGCGTTTCGGTAGCATAGGGAATCGTGATACGATATCTGAACCTACGACCACCGAACCAGAGCATCCAAGTATCAACGCGAAACGAGACTCGGCTCAAGAGGCCCCAGTCCTGAAGCGGATCAGTGCGTTGCCCTCCACCCCGACACTGTCGAAGGAGACAAGTGCGCCTGGCCGCTTGCAGGGAAAGATTGGAGGCGGTGTCCTAGCCAATCGGTTCAATCCTGCTCTCGCTGGCCTTCTAGCTAGAGGACCACCTGGGACGGGCTCGGGGTCTGGTGGCGCCAGTGGCAGCGCATCGGAAACGATCTCGCAGTCAGACTCTACCGCCATGCCCAACGACAACGAAGCGGGATCAGGTCCTAAGCTGACGCACATGACAAAGGTTCGTGCTCGAGGTCCTAAGAGGAAGGCGCCTACTTCTGCCCCAGTGCCAGCGCCTATTTCCGAGGAACCGGAGCCGAGAATGGACAAGCCCTCACCAGAAGAGCCTCGGGCTCCACGACAGGAGTCCCCTGCCACGGTACCGAAGCCGCAACTAACATATCTTATCGACTCTTCGAAGAAGAGCTACAATGAACCTCCAAAGCCAAAGAGGCCACAGCCGACTGCTCTCGTGGGTTCGTCAAACAAATCGTATGACGCTTCCGTACCCGATCAGTTATCTGTCCGGACTCCCAAGTCAGGAAGCAGTTCCCATGAGCAGGTGGCTGCATTAGCTGTGCCAAGAAAACCGCTGTCGCCCACAAAGGTGCCAGAAGAGCCAAGCGACCCCCTAGACCAACCTCCGTCGCCAAGGAAATTGAACATGAACAGGATGTCACGGTTCCTCGATGACTCTACTCGAGTAGAGGGGAAGAGTGGCAGCCCTGAGAGACCCAAGGAACCCGAAGTGTCTGTCAGACCCGATACGTCTTCTGATAAGCTGAGTTTCCGACTGGAGTCGCAGCCGCAATCACCACCGCTCGAAAAACCACGGAGGCCTTTGCCTGACCCGGTCTCCGTATCATGGAAGAGACAACCCTCGTCTGACGAGGCTGAGTCAACTACAGCAACCCCGGAGGGCAGAGGTCCAGCTATGTTCGGTGCAAGGCCGTTGCCTGTACCCCCCGCATTTGCTAATGTCGAACCCCTGAAAATCCCTGGCCGGTCACTCCCAAAGGAACCCGAACGAGCATTGCCGACTCCAGGACCCAAGTCACCTGCCTCGATAGCATCTCCCATGCGGTCACCGACGAAGCAGGCGTTGGATACGTCAAACATCCTGAGCGACTTCTTTGGTTCAGAACGCCCGCAAAGGCATTACCACGTAGATGCGGCTGAGCTTTTGATACATCGGCCCAATACAGCGCCGCTGAAAATCCAAACCTTGAGCACTCAACTCTACCAGTTCTCGGCAGATGGCAAGAAAATCCCAGTTCCCACCCATCGTGAACGAACCCTGTTTGAGCGAGAGATGTACATATGTTCGCATACGTTCACGAACGAGGCTGGCAGAAAGACCGTCGAGGTCTACTTCTGGGCAGGGGATGAGGTTTCTCAATCGACTGTCGAGGACGCGTCACTCTTCGTGTCTCGAGAAGCGAGGGCTATGGGTGACAAGTTGGTCAAATTACGTCAAGGCAAGGAGACTCCCGAGTTCATACAAGCTCTAGGGGGCATTCTCATCACCCAACGGGGGTCTGGCAACAAGTACGACTCACTTGCTCCGCATATGATCTGTGGGCGGCGATACCATGGGCATGTCGTCTTCGACGAGGCTGACTTCACACCGTCAGCCATGTGTTCCGGCTTTCCTTACCTTATCACTCAAGCTGGCAGATGCTACTTGTGGAAGGGTAAGGGCAGCGGAGTGGACGAGCTCAGCTGCGCGCGTCTGATAGGAATGGACTACGCGCTCTCGGGTGAAATGGAAGAGTTTGAAGATGGCCGCGAGCCAGCAACGTTCTGGGACCTCTTCAATGGCGGCAGTAGATCTGGGTCAGCAGACCACTGGCGACTCAAGCCGAACTACGACAAGTACTGCAGCAGGCTGTTCTGCTCGGACGCAGCCTCGAGACAGCAGGTGAGCTACTCCTTTAAGTTTCTGGAAGCCCACAATACGATACTAACACGCATAAACTGTAGGTCGTAGAGCTGTCACCGTTCGCCCAGACGGATCTCCAACCCACGGGCATCTACGTCATTGATGCCTTCTTCGAACTTTACATAGTCGTTGGGTCGCGCGCCCAGTCCCAGTACGCATCGTTCCACAACGCACTGGACTTTGCTCAGGAGTATGCCATCCTCGCTTCAGGCATGGAAGATCGGCCCTATGTGCCCATCTCTACAGTGGTGCTAGAGGGAATTCCTCGGGATATGAAGAGTATATTCCGCAAGTGGCGCGACGCTGCCGGTCCGACCACCACCAACCCAAACGCGGGCTTGAAACGGGGTCGTAGTCTCAAAGTGGTGTCGTTGAACCAGGCACTTCAGGCATTGAGCGATTAGAGCTCGACTCGATCCCGATGGTCATAGCCGTTGCGCGCAAGACGGCTGTAGCCATGCCTAGCATTGTGTAGTCCGCGATCAGTGATGCCTGGGGCATCCGAGGTACATGCTGCTTGGGCGTGCATGTTTGCTTTTATAAACTTGTGTATTTGATAAGGTGTCATGTGACCATGCGGCGAAGGCGGTGTTGGGGACGGAAACATTGTATTCGTGCATCGTTTGGGAGGCGTATATAATGATGGCCACTGGTCGACAGAGGGGGGGGAAAGCTAATCCGAGCTCCCTTATGTGATGTATGCCGCAAGATCTCACGACACTCGGACGACATGACAGTAGGAGCTAGGGAAAGAACAAAATGGAGGTTACAGACTTTTTGCAAATAAAGCAGTTTATTTCATCTGGTGGTTGTTCCAACACTGCGGTGCAACAGTGTGACTTTCACGTCGCGTACCTTGTCACTGACGCGAGCAGCATCTTGGGCCTCCGCGTGTACCGCACGGCTGAATGGAGCGGTCAGGTAAGTTGGCCGGCGTGCGACAGATTCTTACTTATTCAGTCACGCGCGGGAGGTTGGGGAGGAAAAGAGCCATACGTGGGTGCGGGCGCGGGCGTCTTGGACTCCTCTGAAGGTTTTAAAACAGAGCAGTTGGATAATAGGGGGGGATGGGGGACTACCTAGGGATACAGGTGTTGATGGCTGGTCGAGGTGACTTTGGTAGGAACTGGCATGCTATGGAGTCTACCAGGGTGTCGTCGCCAGTTTCGTGGTATCAGATTCGAATACTCTTCTCACTGGAGTATAAGAGCGTTTTTCGGAAGTGTGTTGCTGCCACGATTTGGTGACTTGGTTTCAGGCTCCTGGTCACGGTGATGCGTTCATTCTCTGTCTGAACACGTGCTCAGTGGCGTTATCTAGCCATGTTATGATTCCTGATGAGCAATATTGTCATCCTGTGGGATCACATGTAACTGTCAAAGGTACCTTCCCTACCTATTTAAGTAGGATGGTACCCCAATCAGCTACCCTCGTTCCTCTTCCAATACGGACCATTCTTAAATTCCACAGCAGCACAACCGCCACGATGACTATCACCTTTGAGTTTCAAAGACCTCCATATCCTCCGGCACGATGCTGACTGTACCTGAGTCGAGGGAAGCGAGTACCATGGCAGTGTGACCCATCCGAACATACCGTACACAATTTATGTTCACGACAACCATCTGCTCCTCGTTCCCCGCGCAGTCGACAAGCTCCACAAGGAGCTCCGGGATTTCCGCCACAACCACCGGCGCTTCACCCTGCAGCTCTCCGATGACTGGCTCGAGGCCTACCAGAAGTACAACATGCCGCCTATCTTCGCTGCCCGAAAGGTCAACTTCGGATTCAATGAAGATAAGGGCGTCGTCGTGGCCGCCTTGCTAGGGCCTGGCAGCAACCTCATCCCCTACTGGAACATCAGCAGTATGCTGCGCGGGAGAAAGACTGTCATCTGCGTCCATTTCATGTATGGGACGCCGGATCCTGAGGGGCGCTACCAGATGATGTTGATGGATCTGGACCAAGCTGCTTGAGATCAACTGTGAGATCGGAGGAAACCTATCTCGGACCTCGGGCTACAGACAGAGCTACACGCAACGGAAAGATGGTGAAGTTCGATGAGCTTAAGCTGTGCCTCTTGAATAGGTGATAACGTCTGGAGAAAGCCTCTGTCAGGCTTCAGTGGCGCTGAAACTCCCCGTAAGACATGGAGATAGCTTAGGGTTAGGGTTAGGGTTGCCGTAGCTCGGTGGAGAATATGAGGAGAAGAGGAAATTGTGGGGTCTAAACCCAGATCACGTGAGAGGTCGAAGTTCTGACCGTAGCACGTGATACTGGGCTTTCGGAGATCCTTCCGCTTGATGAGCAGGGATAGGAGGGCTTCGCTTCACTTCACTTCACATGCTTCCTGACTATCCATGACGGGCTTTGTGTTACTTCTCATGATTATTCCTCAGCCTGAGTATCTAACTACATCTTCTTCTCAGCCAGGACGAACATGTGACGTTGCCAGCCGAACCGTCGAGCCATCCGCCTTCCCAATGCCTGTGCCATAATTGGATCGACTTTCGCCACGGGGTGCGGCCGATGGAATATGATCTTGCCTCCGTGCGCCGCCGCCATGCCGTTGAACGGCTCGAGGCTGACAGCCGAGCCGCCGATGTTGCGCGCGGCGAAACCCATGTCGCGCATTGCGTGCACCAAGACGTCCCAGTCCATGCTCTTGGCCTCCTCGGGTGAGGTCGGATACATGGCTGTGACCATGCCCAGTGCGCGCTGTGTGGTAGGGATCTTCTCCATCGCCTCGGACGACACAGGCTTGGAGGGTGCAAAGATGAGCTCGATATCTCCTAGGTCAGAGGTGATGGCCGATGTGTGTTCGGGGCGGGCCTTGGTCTTCTTCTTTCTCTTCGCCTTGACCTCAGTCTTGGGAGCATTTTGGGGCGGTGTCTGGGTTTGAGAAGTACCGAAGCTTGTGACGACCGGCGCTTCAAGTCTTGCCACCTCGGCGGCCATCCTTTGGCGTTGATGGGCTACGTTGTTGAGGTGTTCTTGCGATGCATAGGCGGATACGGCATCTAGGTCGTGCTTGATTTCGTCCGGGGTGAGTGTCTTCAGCTTCCAAAGTTGCTTCCCGCAGAGCGATTCAATTGACTTCCACAAGGCCTGCAGTGACTCGTGCGTAGCGTCGAAACGAACGAGTTGGTCGTTCTGGCCACGGCGAGGCGCCGGTATCTCGATGAAGGCTTTAAGCAGTCGTGCCGTTCTCGGGCACCGCTCGGCCTTCCCTTGCTCTTCAGTCTTGGCTAAGCGCCTCCACCAGCGTCGATTTTCTGTCTTCAACATCGCTTCGCCGTCAGGGTCGGAGGCCCGGGGACGATGGAGACGCATCGTGTCAAGGAGCTCTGATAGTGCTGCCAGGCCGGATAGCTTTGCTAGAAGAACCTCATCCAAGCGCGCTCGGTCGCTTGCCGAGCATTTTGCGAGGTGCTCGTCCAGAAAGGCGAATAAAGATGCGAAACCAATGCGGTTCGTCGAGTCGACCCCAGCAGTGATTTTGCGGAGAAACCAATCAAGGGGGTCTTCTTCCATGAGCCGGGCCATGTAGCTGTTAAGTTCCTCTTCGTCGTCTTGTTCCTTTGGGTCTATCGACAAGCCTACCCCGTCGTTTCGTTGGAGTTTCCAATTGTGGCGGAATCCAGGGCGTGTTCGGAAGATGAGGCGAATGTGCGCCGACTCGTCGTGCATTCTGTTTACGAGAATCGTCTCCAATGACCCGATGGCTCGATCGTACTCTACGGGGAGCGGTTGACCGGCAAGGATCTGGTCACTGTATTGGTCCCGCCAGTGCTTGAGGTTCTGCAGCTCATCGTCTATGTCCATCCAGTGCCAAACTTAGCGGATATTGTAGGTCAGCTCATGTTGAATCAAATCGAATGCATCAACATCCTGATTCCCTCGAGGACGAGATTATCATGGGTCAACTTCATGAAACGCCGTAGATATGTGGGCGATGTCTGCAGCTGCCATATGTCGTCTTTGGCTTGATCAAGTCGGGCCTTGTTCTGCGAAAGAAGCACATCCACGTAGAGCCTGGGAGGTCCTGGAAAGGCCTGATGCGTGTGCTGTGACCATTCGGCCACGTCGCCCTGCTTCCGAAAGCCTACTCGGGTCATCTCATTCCACATCTTTGAAACCCCAGGTTGCCCAGCTCGGTGCCCTCGAGAAGCTGCACCGCGACACTGCGGAGGAACTTGAGAAGACGTGCTTGAGCGTCCAGGATGAGGCGGGCTCTGGGAAATCCAAATTGGTCACATCTGTGGGTGGCCTCGCGATCGAAGCCCACGATACGCCCGTATTGGGTACCATGCATGACCACGCAAGTGGCCGAGAATCCTCGGGTGTCAAGCAATCCAAATTCCCATCTAAGCTGCATCTGTCTAGCATCAAACATGGCCCATTCCTCTGGGGCGTGGTGTGTTCGGTTGTGCAAGAGGCTCAGCAGCATTCCCGGATCCGACTTGAGCTGGTCTTTGCCCAAGTACCTGTATCACCGGTTAGCAACGTGTGAATGCTGCGTTATGAGAAAGAGTACCCACGGCATCAGGATCGTGCCGCGCATATGCTGCTGGTGTTCTCTGCCCAAGTCATCGTCTCCATTGTGGTAGATGTATTGGACATAGTCCCAGCGGTTTTGCTGCATATCGGGGTCGACCTGCGAGAGCACCGTGTCGCGATTGTCCCGGCTCAGCTTCCTCCAGCGACTACGATTCCTGTCGCCCTGTGACTCAATCTGGGTCTGCAAGAAGACTCGGTCCTGATGGGCTGCTTCGACCAAGCTGGCGATGGTGGTCTTCACCTCCTCTACGGTCAAGCCCTTGAAGTCGTCTGGCGCGCGCATGTATGTATAACGGTCCCATTCTTGGTCTGCCATGGTGTGCCAGCTCTGCTGACAGTCGGCGCACTCGCAAGGTGGACAGTACGCAAAGTACGTGCCGGCATCTTGTCCTAGGGGTCCAGGACTGGGCCGCAGCTGTATCTCTTTGCCCAGAAAGGCCTCGGGTTCGGGGACTTGCATTTTGCCGAAGAGCTTGCGATGAGGAGCGGCGGTATGCATGTACCAGTCTCGAGCAATGGAATTGTGGTGTGAGGGGGTATACGTAGGTGACGGGAAGAAGAAGGCAGCGTGGATTTTCAGTTGCCACGAGAACGAGATTGAAGTTGTGGCGGGAGACTGGGGCAGCAACTCTGAATGCCGGGTGAACTTCTCCCAGGTCTATCACCCGATATTCGTTCCACAGCAACGGTTTTTGTAAGCAGCTCTTCGAGATTTATAATGACAACGCCTTATCGCAAGAAACTTGTAGTATATGGGCATCGATTACTACAGTAATTAGTACATGGTCCATTTATCCTCTCCCGTGGTATCTATACGAGTGCACCAATGTTTGCCCAATGACGGGAGTCAATTTGAGGCATACATTCGATCTGTTGGAAACAATAGAGCGCACAGCCATGCTGTCCTATGTGGCACCTATGATTCCATTGTCTACGCTGCCTCAGCTGTCGTAGATGTTGGTAGCACCACTGGCCAGACGACAAGCAAAAGCAAGCAACCAGCTCGATCTCAAAGACTAGGGACACCGAAACAAACCACTAGCACCACCAACGCGACTCGTTTCTTTACCGCGAACAAGGAACAGTCAGGGATAAATCTTCAAAACCCCTCATCCGCCGCCATGCTGGGCCAGGACTATAATACGCGCCGGAGACCTCTGGATCCTGCTCCTCAGATCTACTCCCAATCGGACGAGGACGTCATCCATCCAATGTCTTCCCTGTCCACCACTCTACCCCTATGCACCTCCAACAACCTCAGCCCAGGATGGGCCTCACACGACGCTCGCCGTCCGCGAACATCTTCAGTACCGCTTCGAGCATTCCGCCGCCCGCTGCCTTTCGAACCTCGCCCACCTCCGAAATTCGACGTAGTACTTCCTCGCGATCTGGCGGAGGTTTGCTTCGGAAGAAGAAGGCTACGGTATACCACCGATGCTTATCGGCAAAAGCTGCTGCTGTATTTTGATGGTGGCAATGCTGTTCCACGGTGCCCTGACGACCGTTTCTATGCAGCTTCCAAGGTAAGACGATACCTATACAAAATAGCACAACGTTTGATCACTCTTAGGTACCTACTCGACAGGACCATAGAAGCTGAACCGGCCCTCGGGGTCATACTTCCTCTTCAAGTTCCGGAGACGGTCCTGCCGCCACGACTCGTACCCGTACCAGTTTTTTGGTGTCTCGTCTCCGTAGGCGTAGTTCACATACACGTGGAGCTCCTCGCGGCCGCTGCCGCCGTACAGGATGTCGCGGAGCCGGTTACCCAGTTCTTCAGCGCGGTCATCGAGGTCCGCTCCAGCAGGTGTGTATGTTAGCAGCGGCGAGATTAGTAAATTGTCGTCACGGAATGCGAACGCCGTCGATGCCGCCTCGACGGTTCGCACGCCCTGCTGCGGATATGCTTCGAACATGAAGATGGACGACGCGAAGGGCAAGTCTGCGGAGACGTTGGCCGCGAAGGCGTCGTAGGCGGAACGCTGCGCTGATATGTTGTACGAAGGGAGGTAGATCGGGAAGCGCGAGTTGGCGAGCCCGGCCTTCTGGCATGGCGGCGTGTCGAGCGGGATGCCCGTCCAGGCGGCCAGGTCGCGGTACGTGCCCGACTGGGATTCGGTGGAGAGGGGACTGAGAGCGTGGAAGGGGGCCGTGTAGATGGGGTCGACGGCCGTGGCGCCTTCTTGGATGATGTAGAAGAGGATGATAGGCTGTTATGTAAGTAAGCTGGGTGAGGAAAAAAGATCACAAGGGAATCTTTGTTGGGGGGTTTGTGGCATCTGGCTGGGTTTGACTTACGCTGTCTGAGTCTACGTCCGGCATGTTAAGCCAGTACGACCAGTTGATGATGTCGGCAGGGAGATCAGACAAGTGCTGGTTGGCGGCCTCGTATACGGCTTCGACGTTGTTGCCGCCGAACGTGAGCGTCGCGATGGCCCAGTCGGGGTACTCGATATCGTAGACCTTCACGGCGACGGAGGTGACGATGCCGAAGTTCTGCCCTGCTCCATTCATGGCCCACCATAGGTCCGAAGATGAATTTATCGTCTGCTGGACGCCGTTGGCTAACACCACGTTCATGAAGATAGATTGGTCGGCGATGAGCCCGTGGTGCCCTTGGAGCCAGCCGTGGCCGCCTCCGAGAGCAGGCCCAAGATAGCTGACACATTCACAGGTTCCGAAGTTCTCGATGTGCAAACAGGCCTTGATCGCAAGATATGGTCAAGATAACACATTGCCTTCCACACTTGGCGGTATTGAAATCATGACATGAGGTTTCCCGGGAGCAAGCCCCCTCACAGACAGATTAATAACAGATATCGTCAACGGCATGAGCACTGTAGCGGCTTCGGGAATAGACTGACGGGCCGTCTTCTGCCAACCAAGATTCTCAAACCTCAAACCCCTTTCAACACTAATGATCGATCCGAACCTTTACCCGTGCCACGCACTACTTTACTACCACCTCGCTTGGCTCACAACACCGCAGGTGCTTTTCCACTGAAAGCTGTCTCATTACGTTGTTTTCCTAATGATGCCACTGCCGTCATATGGGATGTCTGCCGACGACTTACCCGACCTGGCTGGCGACCCCATGGCTGCTGCTGGGGCTCGATCATTCACGATCCAATTATGGACACAGTATGCAGTCGGAGTGCTCGTGACTATCCTCAGAACATATGCTCGAGTCAAGGCAGTCGGAATAATAAACATACACGGGGACGACGTCCTCATATGGGTTGCTGTCGTATGTGCCCACTGCCCAAGGAGTCCGCTGCATAGTGTAGAGTCGCCGCCACTAATGATTCGTATTCAGCTCTTTTACAGCGCCCGGACGGTTCTAGGTCATAGTGTGGGAGATATCGCCCACGGCCTCGGGAATAACAACATGACTGATGCGGAGCGCCTCGCAGTGCCGCCCGGTGACCCGGAGTACCAGATGAAGGGAGTGCTGTACTAGGCAAAGCTTTCCTCAAGACGTCGTTGACGCCCTTCCCACTTTAGAACAACTGGCTCGGAGATCCAGTTGGCGGGCTGGTCTGTCTACTCGTCACTAATGTGCTTTCTCGAGCTCTCCGTGCTGATCTTCTATTTCCGACTCACAGTATGTCGCATGTCCTTTTCCAACAGGTGCCAAATATTTGACAACTGATGAGTAGGACAGCAAGGACTGGGCCGCCGGTATCAAACTCAGATACGGGCAGGAATTGCCCTTGTTATCGCGACATCCATTGCTTCGGTGGCAGTCGTCATCTTGTCATGCCTGCCCATCCATCGAAACTGGCAGATTTATCCAGACCCCGGCAGTAAGTCATCTATGTCTACCTATCTGTGTATCTCCCGCTAACAATCGGCCTCCCGCTCAGACAGATATCAGCCTGCCATATCCAAAACAATCATCTGGACATCCTTCGCCGCGAGCGCGTCAACCGACGTATACGTACTGCTAATACCTCTTCCTATGCTCTGGGGGTCTTCCCTAAAGTCATCCAGCTGGGTGTTATGAGTCGCGGATAGAAACGGTCAGTTGACTTACTGGTACTTTCGAGTGCTGGAACCAGTGTACCGTACCTTATGGCGCTTCTATTAGGGGGCATGAGCTAGAAAATGTGGCCAGGTGGTGCCTTAGGCAGCACCTGGAATAATGCCGGCGCAGCCGTCGCTCAGGGAGACGAGCATGTGGTGGTGCGGATATGTACTGGAATAAATCGGCAAACTGTCACCAGCTCCCACTTAGCTCAGTCGTCAGACGAAAGCAAACGACGACCAAGACTCCTTGACTTCGAGTCGGGGAGTGGGCCAAATAGTAATATTTAGATTATATACTTCACAGTATAGCCCGCTTACAGCCTGGAACGGTGCTCACGTGTGTCGTTCGCGGCCACCTGCGTTGAACTACTGTTCTGGACTATACTGTCTCTGTGGGGAACCGGGGTAATACTTTGTTATAATATTTTTCTTCGACCAAGATCGCATCGAGCATCGTACTCGGTGCAGGTGTGTTCGTTCTCGTTTGCGCCACGCTAAAGACTATTTTCGTTATCATGGTGAGTGGCCCTGCTTCCCCCGGCCAGTTAATGTGCGTGTCGGAGTACTAACATAAGGCCTCTTGAAGGACCCTGTCAAACGGAGCACAACTCGCTGGGCTGTGGGGTACACGCAAAGCTTTTGTCGCCGTCTTCACCACAAGCCTGCCCGTGGTATTCCCCCTTTTCAAAGCCTGGCTCAGCCCCATCTTTGGCAATGCCCTTCAATCAACCCAAAGTGCCTACCCGCCGGCTGGAGAAGTTCATACCATCGGCGGCAGTGGCATGGGCGGCAGGCGTACCCTGCGACGAGGGTCTCGTGGCGTCAAACAGTTTATCGCCAACCTGTGGGCCACCGGTAGCCGGGAACAGATCGTACAGGAAGTCCCGCTGCAGGACTTGAAAGACCCTGGTGAGCCTGGCGCGCGCTTCGATGCAGTGAATGCGGTGCATACATTGGCGCGGAGGACAGTGGTAACGCCGACGCTAAGGCTATTACGAGGTTTTCTGCTTCCCTTGTTAGTGAGCGAAGTTGGCCTCGATAGAACATTAGGAGATTTTTGAGTAATTCCCAAGTGTGTGTTATATAGTAGATATCTGTCTGTATTTATTCGAATCGTCCCTTCGCTTCGCAACGCCCACGTTGATGCTTCCGACTTATGTCACAAGTTGTGCTGCTGAGGGTCAAGCTACCTTTGGTGCCGTCTCGACATTATGGTACATAGAACCGAAACAGTCTATTCCATAACTTCGTATCCTAGAACCATGCCGGCACGGTATTCAAGCTTGCTTCATTGCCCGGGATGATGATGCCACGAGCGCCCAGCCCCTTCCATCAACACTTCGTCGTCGGTATGACTCTTTCGGCGCCTGGTATAAGTATAAAGATCTGGTTCAAAACCACCGGCTGTTCTCAATCGTTGTCTCGATACCGGGAAAGGCTGGTCGTATAGGGGTAGCTAGGCAGAGTCCAGTCAATGCTACCTAGCGTAACGAGAGGCTGTGAGCTTTCCATGCGTAAATACGAGTGGTCCTAGATGCCGTGTTCGGCCCATCACACGTCGCCCTCATCAAGCGCTCGCTACACAGTGTCTCCCTCTGGTCGTTCACAGGAGAAGCCACGCCACGTATATTGGTGTTAGCCTCTACGCAACTACGCGCACGCTGCTGTACATCTAGTCAGCCCTTGACTAGCGCGGACACTCATGGTCAGTAACATTAATGAGATACTCGCCTCGGGGGGATCAGAACGAAGCTGTGAGAACGAGATATAGGTCGACGGAACCACTTGCTTCACTCCGGGTAAGTGCTCTTCCGCTCCCCGTATCCACATTTCCCCAGACACCTCCACGAACTCCAGTCTGGGGCCATCCTCCATGCACCTCGCATCTACTTAGCCTCCAGGCTCTGCCGTCCAAGGATTAGCTCTCGCGTCTGGACTCAAGACTACCCGTGCTACGCACCACGTGAGCCCCAGCGAGATGGAAAGTGGTGCGTGGCACGGGTATTGGTATCCGTGAGTCGGGCTTCATAAGCCAGCTTTCCCCTTCTACTCTTTCTTAGGAGGTAGCCATCGTTAAAGCAAGATGTCGAACCGCAATCTCTGCACCGCAGCAACGGTCTCCTGTCTAACAGCAGCACTGTTCGGGTACTCGGTTGGCTTCATCGGAGGCGAGATTGTTCTTCCCTCGTTTCTCCTCCATTTCAACCTTGACGACCTTCCTCCTCAGGAGTTGGCGACAGCTAGGTCATGGGCGGTGACCGCATGGATCGTCGGTGCGCTTGTAGGCGTGCCCTCGGCTATGCCTGTATGCGCAAAGCTTGGCCGACGCAGCTGTCTGATGTTTGCGGGCGTCCTATATGTGGTTGGGGCAGCGATGCAGCTGGGGTGTCGCGGGAATCTGGCACTGTAAGGACAATCCGCTGTTCTACCGACCGTGATCGTATCTGACTGCTAATGTTTGGCTAGGTGTATGTCAACACGCTTCTTGAGTCACATCAACAGCGAGATCTATCAGCAATGCCTTCGACTGTCGCAGATACCAGTGCAATGGCAGCCTTTTCAGCGCAAGATAATGACCCGAGGCGTAGTGCTAATGCTTCACAGTTGACACGGGCCGACTACTGAACGGCATGGGTGTCGGCGCTGGCACCCTCGTCTCACCGATCTACATCTCCGAGATCTCGCCCGCGCCGCAAAGAGGAATGCTCATGTCTGGGTATCAAGTCCTCGTGCAATTGGGAGCACTCATCGGCTTCTGGATGGCCTTCATCGCACAGGCTACGTTATCCGATCACGGCTCGCTCCAGTGGCAGATACCGGTGTCCCTTCAGCTCATAGCTGGAGCCATGTTGCTACTGGGGACTTTAGTGGTGCCCGATTCACCCCGATATCTCGCTGCGAAGGAGAAGTACGGTGCTATGGAGAAGGCACTCTCATGGCTCCGTCGACTGGACCCTACTGACCCTCAACTCGTGGAAGAGCGTATGGAGATCGAAGCTGCGGCGAATCTCAGCAATAAGCTCAAAGAGCACTCATTCTTCAACGAACTGCGCAAAGAGGATGTTCGCCACCGTCTCACTGTCGGTGTGGGTTTAATGGTTGCCCAGAATATGGTCGGTCTGAACGCTTTGAACTATTGTAAGCACACGACACCACATACTCTGTGATGATGGTCATTTGACAATTGCGCAGACGCTCCGGTGATCTTCATGTCAGCCGGTTTCACCTCGGTTTCCTCCTCCCTGTTCTTGACCGGCATATTCGGCGTTGTCAAGCTCGTGTCGTCCCTGGCGTTCATGTTTAAATGCGTTCACGTCAAAGGCAATCGCTTCTGGCTGGAGCTGGGGACCACTGTCTGCGCCATCTCCATGCTGGTGCTCGGCTACTGCGTCAGCGCATCTCCGTCACCCGAAGAACAGCATGAGGGCTCCATCACAGCGGTTGGCATTGTCGGAGTGCTCATGGTTTACGTCTTCTCGTTCTTCTTCGGGGTTTCACTCGGTCCCATCTCCTGGAACGTTTGCGCCGAAATATTCCCGCTTCACATCAACTCGACTTGTTGCGCTATCACGACTTGTACGCAGTGGGCGTTCCAGATCCTCATCGCTGCGATTACACCGCCTTTGCTGGCAACAATCGGATGGGCGACATACGTGATCTACGGCGGATTCTGCATACTATCGCTGGTTTGGATCGTCTTCTGTGTTCCTGAGACAAGAGGAGTCGGTGTTGGGAAGCCAATGGACGAGATATTCGGCGCGGATATGGCTCCGGAGGAAGAAGCGATTGTGGAGGCATCAGAGACAACAGCACTGCTTGTGCATGACCGCCGGCGAAGGAGCTCTTTGACGGCATATACGTAAAGTAGCGTGGACCGTTACGAGGGCTGAACTGCGGACTCGCAGCAGGTGTTGGTGGTGTTTGTAGAGAAAGCAATGGCCAGTCAAAGACTGCAGCTCAGGCGTACAGGCAGACCACTTCTCTGTCGCAAGCAAGACGAAGCCTACATACATGCTGCCCTTTTCAACGAAGGGCTTCCATCTACTTCAGGTGACTTCGGGGACAGCTCTACACTGCTCTTATTTGGCTTTGTTGATTTTCATGAGTAGGCTAGACTAGTTCGACGAGCTGGGAACGCGGCGGGACCTCGAGTCAGAAACGTCGCCGCTACTGCAGCCCACTGTCTATCTAGATCATGGGGGGCGTAAGTCTCGTGGGCCGGCGGGCGACGGTCTCTCCTAATCTAGGTACTACTTATTTGGAGATATACCCAAGCTGCCGAGATAGCTCAGATTCAGAACCTTTAAGCGATCAAGCATCAAGCTACAAGATGGAAAACGAGATTATTCGTCAGATGCCCGAGCTGCGTAATAAGAAGTCCGTGAGCAGGTGAGCATCCGTATGCGCGAACATCTGCGGCGTAGTTACCATGCTCACGTATCCGTCATATCCTACACTGAAGTCTCGACCTGCCTTGTCTATACCCTGTCACATGACCCTCTCTTGTTCGTGTTACTCGCAAAGGACCCAGATCTCGCCGAGCCACCCCCTCGGGATACAGTAGCACGGCAACCAGATAAGCAAGCAAAGACTGACATGAAAAATGACGCCCGAAGCAAGACATGACTCGCGTGGTTGGCCCAGCACTCAGAATAAGATCTTTGAAGCTGTGGCCGTCTTTGGTGGTGTGGTCGACGTCGCACCCTACACAAACACACAGCCCATCAACCACTCAGGGGCGTGAAATGCGGCCGTCGGGGGACAACTCCGGTGTATGTATGTGCTATAGCGTACATGGCCGAGTTGGGAATGATGACTGCAGTACTAGCCCCGTTTGCCTATCTGTGTGGTGATGGTCGACCTAGCGACGGGCGCTGGGCATGAGAGCGAGGAAAGGAAAGTTTGCTGTTTTCGGCCGGATTGCGCGGAATTCGGTCGGATCTTACATGTACGGCGAGTCGTCACATTCCCTATATATGTTTGTGACCTGTTTTGGATCCTTGCTTGTGGCTTCGTGTGACTTGCCAGGTGTAGTAAGTAGCGCGAGCGGTGATCTATCGTCAGCTATGCGATCAGGTCACACATGCGGTCAGGTCATACATGCATGCTAAAGAACCCATGCGTGCCGAAGAACCCATGGGTTGCATTTCAGCTTGACCGCCACGAACACGGGTGCTGGCTGGGGAATGTTTGAATATTTTGATTGGTTCCATTCGCCTTAATGGTAGGCTGGAGGAAATCTATATGCATGAATGACCTAGAATGCCGCGACGGGGATGTAACAGCACCGCCAATGACACCTTCCTCCCATTCCAACGCATCAATAGATATTAGGTATGTGGGAGACCTGCTTCGTGGTTCCCTGCAAAATCGAATCATCGCTGCCTCTCAACTGGTCATGGCACCCTGCCCGGGTAATACCTGAGCCTCTTGTCCCACAGACCAAGGCCCCAAACGTCAAATTGCTGTGTGTTGTTGATAAATACCTCCGTGCGTGCCCTGATCGTATAATGAGTGTGTATACCAAAGCGCCGAAGACCGCGATAGCATTTTATATCGTAAATTGAAGCCTTATTGGACAGCCATTATCGTGATGTGAGGGGAAGGGAAATGCCCATAGACAACGCTGCCAGTGTTCCAAAGCAATGAGTCTACAACATGGCAGCAAAGCCTGCCGCGCCCAGTAAAAGTGCGCCGGCAGCAGGAGTCGCCCGAGGCGCGAGACCGGACGTAATCTGCACGATGCTGCTAGTTGTTGTTGGAGTGGGAATGTAGGTGGTGCTAACCAAGGTCGGAGCGGTGATCGTGATCGGAGGCCCCGACTTGGTGACGATAGTCCTGTCCGAGTAGGTAACCCAGACGGTTGGCTGTGCTGTTACCGTCTCGCCAGCACTCGCCTCGGAAGTAACAGTGACGTCAACCTCCTTGGTCTTGGTCACTGGGATAGTGTCCGTGATGGTGTACTTCTTGGTGACATAGACGGATTCTGTGCCGGTTTCGGTGATATAGATGGTGCTGCCCTCTGACACTGTGGTATACGTCGTCTCGGGACACGTCACTGTCTCATAGATCTCGGTGGAAGTGTGCTTGGTGACAGAAAACGACGTGTAATCAGTTTCTGTAACCGGGACTGCGGTCACAATGGTAGATGTTGAAGTCCAAGTCACAACAGCAGTGCTGCCGCCGACAGTCTTGGTCTCCGTCACGGGGCAGAGCGATGTTTCTGTCGTGTGGATGACTTCGCCTGTCGTTGCAGTAACTGGCGGAGCTGACTCAATCGCAGTAACGGTGGTGGGTACGACATTCACGATGGTAGATGTTGAATACCATGTCACAACTGTCGTGCTGCCGCCGACAGTCTTGGTTTCGGTAACGGGACAGAGCGAGGTCTTTGTCTTGTAGATGACTTCGCCTGTCGTTGCAGTGACTGGCGGAGCTGACTCGGTTTCCACGATGGTGGTCTCAATCTTGGTGACAGCGACACTTGTAGTGGTGTACGTGGTGGTGATAGTCTCGCCGCCGACCGTTGTAGTCTCCTATGAAAAGGAGTCAGTTTCAATGAGATCTGTGCACGTAGCGAATAGGACATGTATTATACGGTCACAGGGCACACTGTGGTATACGTGAGCTCCACCTCAGTCGTGGTTCCGACAGTAGTGTCCGGCAGAGTCTTGGTGACCGCGCCTCCTCCTCCACAGTCGCCCCCGGGGCACGAAGTGACAGTAATAGTCGACGTCGTTAGAGCCGTCTCGATATATGTTCTGAGACATCTTGTGAGTAGTCTGCTTCAAAACATCACGTGTGTTTACAATAACTTACGAGCCGCCAGTAGTGTAGGTGTTAGTGACCGGGCAGGTCGTGACCGTCTCATAGGTGGTTGCAGTGACGACCGGGACGCTATGGTCTCCTCCAGCAATGACCGATGTGGCCAGAGCCAGGATAGCAATAGCTGACTTCATGTTTGCTTGGCCTTGTGGAATATTATAAACAAGACTAAGAGGGGAAGACGACTGAAGCTTTGCGAGCACTTTGATCGGTCGGTAAAGGAGCTAGGTAAGATTTGAACGAGGGAGTCATATGACCTTAGCGAACGAGTTACCGTGCCTGTACGGGGAAGGCAGGTTGAGAAGGGGTTATAAATTGGACAGCCTGGCAAGACACGAGAGAAGGAACACAGACAGACAAGAGGGAAGGCCGGGAGACTTATACTGTCACCTACCGTGATGGAGAGAGCCGCAGCGACAAACCAGCCATGGAGTGCATGGCCATGACACATGTACACATGTCGATATCTCAACTAACAACCCCACCTTCTGGCACAGCACCGTCTACATGGGTTGAGTAATGCTGACGGGAGACTAGCTCGAGCCTCGCCTTGCATGACAGGGAATACAGGTTGGGGACGAGCTGGTGTGATACGAGCTTGGAGGATGTGAGCCAAAAGGGAGCGAATGTGGTTGTGAGAGGACTGTTAGCATGGCTGGCGACAAAGCCTCCAAGTCCTCGATCTCCCATCTGACAGTTAGATATCGAGAGAGTACCAAACATGTGTGACCTGTGTGAGCCGGGTGCTCAAAAGGCGAAAGGTTGGAATGGCGTCGGTTATGCAAGCCACGTTTAAACGGCTGCTATGGCAATAATGTCGTCGAGGCTGACCGGCTGAGCCGTGCTGAAGGATTGGGGAAGCTCTAGCCACTTTCTGACAACACACCCACCCCTCCTATGTGATACGGTCCATCCCATGGGCTGATGTCAGTCACCGCCAGATCTTCACTGCAACGCTGACCCACCCAGCGGCACAGCAACCATGCAATAAGGTAGGAGATGGCGACTTACACAGCAAGTGATGCGTTACCCCACGAAGGGTGAGGTGAAGATACCCCGCCTCTTGCTTTTGCTCGAGTCTGGTGAGGCCGGTACATTGAAGTGGGCGATGTAACAAGTTCCACGATCCAGGAATGATGATGCAAATCGAAAAGTGCCATTCCGGATGCGTGAGAAGATGAACAATCCGAGGCTGCGTGTCGGTGGGTAGAGGTCTGTTCGGATAGCTAGCTCGACGCGACACACGACCTGCAGAGCGAGCTCGGTAAGAGGTAGTCAGGACAACTCGCAGAACTACTGTGAGGTGACGGCACACTAGGAGGTAGCGAGCAAAACTTGCTTTCGGCCTGCTTCTCCAGAGCTTGGCCGTTGATCTGGCCTCGGCGCTCTCACAACATCAGCCAGTCGGCTGTAACTGCATTCGGAGCTGTCCTGCCCTATCGGAGTCCGTGAGGAGTAGGACTCCAGCTTGATTCCGGTCTCACTCCCTAGGTAATCTATGACCCGGTCAAGGCCTGTACGTAGAGTATGAGTCCTTCAAGTTCTGGCTGTTGGGCAACATGTGATGCGTTTCTTCGGGTTCGAGTTATCCTGTTGATGAAGCTCAGGGACAGCTACACCAGTCCCAGAGGTCAGTTGACCAGCAGACCACTGCGACCAGACGTGGGCTAGAGGAAGCTGTCGGTTGACTGCTGTAGAGGTCGGCGAGCGTATGCTGTCGTGCTTTCTGGAAAAACATAGTATGGCGCAAGAGACTCTGCTAGACCTATCAGTCTTCTGATCTCAGCCTCACACAGCGAATCATCTGCGAGTAGACCAAGCCGGGTCAGTTCTAGATCGGCAGCACCGCAGGTTCACGACAATGCCGCATATGTGTCGTCCGTCCAGAGGGATGGGGGGTTCTCCACGCTGTGAGGGTGAAGTGCTCGGTAAGGTTCGGTCTCAAATGCAATGTTGCCAAGCTGGCTGACTCGCAATGCTGTATCTATCGAGCATTGTCGAGAGACCAAGTGTATGATGTGTGAGTGGGAAAAGATTCTCTTGCGACAGAATACGAAGTCCCGACTCGACCTGAACCGATAGCTTGGTCCGGGCGGTGGGGGTGGTGTGGAGGCCCCTAAGCACGTGCGGTTAGACCTCTGGGGGTAGTGGGGCTAGCTGGAATGCCTGGGGAGATCTTGGGGGTGAACCGTGCGCAAAAGCGCTAGCAATCGCAAGCACATCCGAGCTCACTTCTAACTACCTAGGTACCTCCTGGTACACCCTCATGTAGGAGCTCCAGTCAGCTCCAAGTCCAAGTGTATCTCATCTCCATGTCACCTTACGTCTCCCGGTCTTCTCTCTGGCCCATTAAGACTGTGAGTTGTGTGTCGCCAATCACATTATTGTGTTTCGACCAACGGATGAAACCTGGTTGATACGGCTTACCTACATCGCCGGCCTTCTGGTATGGTGTTCTGTGCTCCCGCCGCCTTTCACCTCAACATGAAGGGAATATACGGTGTCGAGGCATGACTCAATCTCCGAGAATGAATTCTCAGTCATATCATCTGTTTATCCGCGTTGAGATATGGTTGGGATCTCTGGTTAGAGGAAGCGGTCCCCAAGCTCCCTGCTTCACAGGGTCGAGACATACCGGCGTAGTCCTCAAATCATTGAAGTTGCGAGCGACCGCCACATGAGAAAATACACTGGCAAGACCAAAGCCTGACGTTTATGTTTCTTCCATCTTTATCCATGTGATACCTCAAACGTAGCCTAATGCAGTCACGTCAACAGCCAGTGAAACCATAACATCAGGTCTGGTCAGCCGGTATCTGAGGCCCTCTTCGCCCTGCCCGGCGTACCACGAACGGCGCATCCATCCATGTATCGTCATTGAGTAAAGTCCCTTCATCATAAGCTCTGGATCAATAGGCAGGACGACCCCACTCCGTAATCCAGCCGCGAGATCAGGGTTAGCCACAGCCCAGAACGAAGAGGCCTTCTTGGTGACATAGAGGAGGCAGCCAGCCCTCCAACTTCAGAATCGCATCCTTACAGCAGCGCTCGGGACAGGACCCGAAAAGTTTCTACACTCTCTATACTGAAATACTGAGTAAAGTATTGATTACCTAACTCTACGTGCCTTTGTGGTCCCAACAGTCCAGAGGTATGGAAGCCCACAAGGAAGATGGGGAGAACTGGCACCAGCAATTCATCTTTTACAGCAAGCGCAGACGACCAGTCTCGAAGATGCCAACGTGCAGCTTGAACGAGGGGTCCTGGAAGAATGCGCGGCGAGGCAGGGACGGCCTGTGAGGGTAATGCAGCGACCGCGTACCTACCTGGGCCCGCGCACCTACCCAAACCTGAGGCTCAAGATAATACCAGACCGTACCTACCTCAGAGCAAGTACTCCTTCAGTCCCACCAGCAGATAAGTTTGCGAAGCATTCCTCCACCAACCTTTCCTGACGTTTCCACCAGCTTACTACCTACACTGATTACGCAATATCGCCCTCCCAGAATACGCTATGGCTGAAGAGCAACGAAAGCAAAACAACCCGTTGTGGGGTGCCGAGTCGATTCCAGAGAAAGCCGATGTTACCGACTCCGATGCTAAATCGAGCGGCTGCTCTACTACCTCAATGTCGAACACGCGGCTCACCGAAGAGATCAGCATCGACATGCATAAGATAGAGTGGGTGGAGGTAGTGCCACCCGGCTGGGAAGATCTCGTCAACGATGTTCCGTCACTGTAGGGGTCTGTCATCGACGTGCGCAACTTCTTCGAGCAACTCCTCAAATACCGCTGCATTGAACCGCCCAAGCACCGCCCTTACCATACGGACTTGAAGCAAGCCATTGTCTTCGATGCAGACTTTATGCAAGCCATTGTCTGCACATGCCCGGAGTTTCATAGCCTGCAGGAGATGGATGTGAGAGTGCAGACTGGGGATGTAGACCAACTCCAGCCTGTTTCGCCAGGTGCTAGGTCTACCGTCCAGATGCCCCTGTAAATAAGCGACGTGAGTTCGTCATCTTCTGTTCCAAGTCCAGCGGAGGTAGTTGTGCACATCTGCATGATATATCACTGCCTCACTGAGAAGACATCGTAAGTATCACTGTAATCTGTCTTGCTGTTCTAATGACATGGGCGTATCTAATGAAGGAGGACTTTAATCGCGTTGTTTTTCGAGAAATCATTTCCATATTTTTTTCTTTTCTTTTTATTATTATTATTTATATATATATTATTTAAATATATTATTACTAGGCTTTTTTCGGTATTAACGAGCTAGTAGCGCGCACGTTATTATTATGAAACCCAAACACGTTACGATATAACAATGAATCGCGAGATAAACGCGTTTTATTTTAAAGAATAACTACTTTAAGTCTTAATATGCGGCTTTAAATATATCTGTGACGGTGTACAGCCGTATCCACCTGGATAAATGGACGCTTAGTCATCAGGTCACGTGTAGATTAGATAAGATAGGAACGGGACCACCATTTAAGATGTGTGCTGTGCACACCACCTTGCTGGCTTCTTTTTCCTTTCCCATCTTGTTATTTTCGTAATCAACACTAGATTGCAACACAACGACGCAGGCATCCTGACAATATCCTTAATATATATTTAAAAATAAATACTTTTTATTCCATTTTACTTCTTAATTAATATATTTATCTTACTATTTAGGGAGATATTTAAAAAAACTATAAGAAAAGCTTTTCGTTTATTATATTTATAATAATGCCGGCACTTTAAAGCTTTATAAAGCTACCGTAGTTAAAAGCGTAAAAAGGCATTTAAACCTAATTATTTTAATAAAATTCGTTACAAAATAGTTATATCAGTTAAAGTGTTTTATTTCGATGTTTTTTCGATTAATATACCTTTGAACTAGGCGGATAACGCTTTTAATACGCTTAATATTTATTGATAAGTTAAGTTTGACGCGTTAAAATAGCTAGTTATCGTTAAAATATACGAAATCTTTAAAAAGTTATTTTTAAAGTATAACGTAGCTGACAAGCGAGTTAGCACTCATCATGAACTTTGCAACCAACACGATTCAAACCATTATATCTCCACCAACAACAATGGCACCGCATTATGACGAATCAGACTTATAGCTAGCTGTCCAAGCTAAACGATGTGACCCTCATATTTCTATATTTCAGCTTACGAAGCTCTTTAATATTCCTTGTTTCACTTTGAGTAATAGAATCAAAAGAACGCCATTACGACGCAATAATATGCCCAATACTTTGAAACTTAGGGTTTTCAAAGTGAATGCCATTCATTCATTCATTCTTGACCTGGATGCGCAAGCATTTTTATCCCGGCACAGTTATGTTAAAGATATGGCGAATCAATTGTTGGCTGCACATGGGACTGTATACATTAGAAAGAACTGGACGCAGAACTTCATTAAATGCACCCCAGGCCTCCAGACGCATTTTTATCAGAGGATGGATTACCAGAAGGTCTTGTACAAAGATCCAGATGCGTATTGCGCCTGGTTTCACCAAGTTGAGGCAGCAGTCGCGAAACATGGTACCCAAGATACGAACATCGTCGCCAGACCCCAATCTGCCACCCACTACTTGGATTTCAAAGACGCTTATCACTATCAATAAAGCGGTAAACTAATCAGTTTATATCCAAAATTGAGTAATAAATCACTAAGGAAGCTCACTTATATCAATAATTGATGCATTAAGCTCGTTTTTAAAGGTTACATACGGTCTTATGCATAAGGTCGTTTGATTGATTCCTTGGTCCATGAGTTAAAAGAGGCCAATTACTTACTAAATAAATATCAGAAAACAAAAAAACAAAGGTCTGATAAAAGGAGGAATATTTTTTATTGAAGATATAATAGGTCTTCAGGCTATAAAGAATGGTACTGAGCTGACAAACTAGGTAATGGGTAAAGGTAGTCGTTGTCTAAAGAGGACAGCAGCACGTGAGCGACAATATGGCGTTTGCAGTAATACTGGCCATAAGGCGCAAACTTATATAATAGAGATAGAAACCTCTAAAGAAGAGGAATCCGATTGATTGAATTGAATTGAATACGTTGTGTTGAAGTTATTTAACATGGCAGTTAGAGAGTTCATGACAAGTGCCAACTCGCTTGTAATGCCAACTCGCTTGTCAGCTACATTATTATAGTTTATAATATACTTTTTAAAAATGTAACTTACTAGTAATTTGTTAACTTAGTAACGTTTTTAACTCTTAGCTTACACATAAGCTAATCATTAAAACGCCTTTTATTATATATTGTTTGTTTGTTTGTTTTGTATTTAACGTGGGGGGTAGCTCCTCAGTAGTTATTGGATAACAGGGGTCATGAAGATGAGCCGAGTCCGACCGGAAAAACCACGGTACGGCGGAGATGACCAGCACCAAACTGGGAACCGATCAGGGGCACCTGAACAGACAGAACAGATACAAGACACTACATGCAATACACGAAGAATCACCCTCCAATCACTGAACTCGCTTGAATCCAACAGTAGTGCAAACCACGCCTCCCAGAGCCATTGCATCGCAAGGTTGTAGAGGTGTCAAATTAGATACATTCAGATCCGCGCACGAGCCTATCCTCGCTGTAGCGGTACCAATCTGGAGTGTTCAGATGGTTTTAGTCAATACCCAAGCACGATTCCGTCAGAAAAACCTCCTATCTAGTGACAAAGCGACCCAGTGAACCTCAGTTCTCTGGTGTACATATCGTTCCAGTAGCCGTTTGATATATGTCGCATTGGTGGGTGGAGTAGGTGTTTGTTATCTGCTGGCAAGGGAAACCACAAAGGGGAAAACCTCGCAGGAGTGGGTATTGTGGAGACAAGCTGCTTGGCTATCGGGCTCTGCGATAAAATGGGGCCTCTCCACTGTCGTGTGCTGGTTATCAACTCGCACAAGCCGGGTCAGAAAGGGGGCCATAGCAAGATTCGAACCCACTTGTTCTCGTCGCCCACCGCACAAACAAGAACACAACCAGGCGCATTTGACCATTGCGCCATACGGCTATTATTATATATATTTAATTCGTCGACACATTTATTAAAGCTTATAAAGTTATTAAGAAAAATTACGTGAAAATATTATATAAAAAATCTACGTTTTTCAAACATATAATAGTTTCTTATTTAAAAAAGTACTTAATATTAGTTTTGAGTTAAATTATCGCTTTATTACAATACGATAGATATTTAATAGTTATACTAGCGAAAATATATTATATTACCTATTAAAGGTCGCAAAAAGGCATAAAATACTTAATATTGTAAGGTTTTATACACTTGATTACGTAAATAATACGCTTTTTTATCAATTTTTTAATGACTTGTATATTATTAATCAACAATAGAGCGTTTCGATTAATATTATATCATTTTAATCTTAATTTTAATGATAACAAAGTCTAATAATTAGTTAATTAACGCCGCGTACGTTATTAAGGCTATATTTATAATATTATTTCTATAAACTTTGTTTATAAAAAAGTAAAAATAGATAATATATATTACAAAAAAACCTCTATTTTAACTGTTAAAAAGGCATATAAAGTAATAATATTTATTTATTAAAACTTTTAACGTTGAAATAGACTTTATAACCTTATCATAATTACTAACATATATAATTAATGGAAAAAAGGGGGAAAAAGGGAAAAAATTACTGTCGTTAATTTATAATTAGCTTTTTATATAAAATATTAATTAAGGCGCGTTAAAAAGTTATAAAGAGAAGATAGTTCATTAGTTTATAACAATATAACGTAGCTGACAAGCGAGTTGACATTACAAGCGAGTTGGCACTCGTCATGAACTCTCCAACTGCCATGTCAAATAACTTCACCACAACGCATTCAGTTCAATTCAATCAATCAGATTCCTCTTCCTCAGAGGTTTCTATCTCTATTGTACAAGTTTGCGCATTATGGCCAGTATTGCTGCAAACGCCACACCGTTGCCCACGCGCTGCCGCCCGCCTCGGACGACGACTACTTTCACCCATTTCCTGTTTTGCCAGCTCAGCACCATCCTTTGCAGCCTGAAGATTTACTGCATCTTCAATAGAAAGTACTCCTCCTTTCACTAGACGTTTGTTTTTTGTTCTCTGGCGTTTACTTAGTAGGTGATTGGCCTTTTCTAGTTCGCGGACCCGGGAATCAACCAAAGCGACCTTATGTATAAGACCGTATGTAGCCTTCGAAAACGAGCTCAACGCATCAACTATTGATGTAGGTGAGCTTCCCTGGTGGTTTCTGACTCGGTTTTGGATATAAACCGATTGGTTTACCGCTTCGTTAATGGTAGTAGGCGTCTTCGAAGTCCAAGTAATGGGTGGCAGATTGTGGTCTGGCGACGGTGTTCGTATGACAGCGACAGCATCCAGCTTTGAAATGACACTTTCTGGGTCAAAAGGAACAAGCCCAGTGGCACTGAAACCTGCTCGAATGTTTCCTGGCGTCATAGCAGCGTTGTGTGTTTCACAAAACGCTGCAAGGAAGTCCTCCTTCGAAACGTGGGTTATATGACGCCGGATGAGATCCTCAATCATGCGACCGTAAGCTCGTTTGAGCGGGCTAAAACAGCCGACATCTAGAGGCTGGAGCCTGTGTGACGAGTGGGCAGGCATACAAAGGGTGATAATGCCGTTGTTCTGACAATAATCCTCAAAGACCTGGGAATGGTGGCTTTCGTGACCATCTAGGATGAGGAGGCGTTTACCGGC